GCTATCGATAATGTGCTTAGTTATATATCGTCATCGTTCGAAATCCGTTGTTCGTGTCTATCGTTATATGGTGTGCTTATTATCCATGTGGAAATGCAGCTGTTTCAAAGTGTTTCATCGTTGGAGTCATCGTAAAGTTCATCGAAAGTGTTTCATCGTTGAATTCATCGCAAAGTGTACATCGAAATAGTGATGTGTATATTATATAGTTCGCTATTTAAAGTAGTGTTAGTTATATCGTCTATCGTCGTTCGGGAATGTTCAATTATATCGTATTTCGTGAATCTGTAATGTGCTTCGGAATCTGTGTTTTAGGATGTGCCATTGTATGTTACATCCTGGAGGGGGATGTGTTAGAAATAAACTCCCTTCAGCTGTGAAGAGTGCTTGGTTAATTACGTCTACTGGCGTATTAATACAAGCATGCAATAATATAAATGTAGTCCAAAATAAAGCACGTGAGATGCACTACAGAGTTCGTACCATCAACATCGTTTTTGTTCTTTTTTTTCACCCATCGTAACTCGAAGCCATGAGTCTGCTATTTATGGGCCCAGTCTGAGAATCCATTTCGGGATTTCTCATACATCGTTCGCAACAGTAATCGTACATTATTTATACTAGTGAAATATTGGAATCGCGTGACGTATTTCACTGTAAAAGCACGTGCGGGGTTTCTGTATTTTTAAGTCGTTTTATATTAAGACATTGCGTAATATATTGTAAAAATACTCGGACCTACAGCTCTCTTGTTGTTACGATATATTACTTAATGTTTCGCTCTCAACCATTAAACAATACTTAACAACCGCTTCCACCGAAGTGATATCACAGACAATCTCTACGCGCAACCTCTTTCTGTTAATATAAGAATACAGAATATTCTAACCGAAAGACGAGCGCAAGGTATCGCAAACCGCTACTCGTCAGTGTTTGGACCAGTTAAAGGCTTACGGTACTACCAATTAGCTGGTATGTAAACTCTGCCATAGAAGCAAACCGACTTACACTGGCCAATCGGTTATACTATCCGTATTTAAGCATGCTTGATTACCATAATACAATTATACACAGTCCATTATGGAATGGAATAAAATATTTTATCTCTAAATTTCACGGAAATTCCTTGTCATTTCACCGTTTATTCCGTAAAATAACAGAATTAAGTCCATTATAGAAGGGAATGAAACATTTTATCCCTAAATTTCACGGAAATTTCCTGTTTAATACTGAATATTCCATAAAAATACATAAAACACGTAATTTGAAGAAATAATTTATACTTTTAACACAATTTCCCCCCCCCCCCAAAAAAAAGCCATCGATTAACAGAAAAAAGTGTTAAACCACGGAATTCGGCCACGGTTTTCCGTTGGGGTTCCCCCTTGTCAGTGGCGTAGGACGAAGGGCCTGGCAATTGACAACAGATATTCGTTCGGATGTGACAAAATACCGAGGTCCCGTGTACACATTGGTGTGCACGTAAAAGATCCATTGGCAGTTGGAAATCGATCTAAGAGTAGGCCGTAGTGCAGCTATCCGGGAAAAATGTCCCCCGTAGCACAATGTATGGCGTATTCCCGTCTTCATTAGCTCAGTCGGGACATAACCCCATTTCATTTCATTTCATTTCTTTAAAATGGAATGATAGAAAAAATGAATTGTTACAGGAGTAATTAGATCTTCATGTTTTATCACCTCTTTTTTAAAACAGACACGAAATAAATAAATTGATCATAGAAAAGTGTTTGGTGTTATTTTGTAACGCTAAGCAACTGTAAAGATTTCCTGTAAAGGTTTTTTATAAATGCACATGCTAACGGTGGATAAGATCTGGATTAATAGATCCGCTGTATACAATAAAACAACAAACGAACGTTAATCATAAACTCAATATACTGTCAATATCCGCTTCATTGCATTATTTTGATTCCAGCTTAATAACTTTTCCCGTGATTAGGAAATTAAGAATATCAGCTTCCTCCGACTCAAACAAATTATGAATGCCACGCGGATTTATTAATCCGTTTTATCATTATAAAAGGCAATTATCAAAATTAGGTTTGGCACGGAATACCCTAGTTTGTGTCGAGTAGGCGTTTTCATTTGTTTATCTTTACTGACGCCTTTGATTTCAGTAAATAGAACATGTCATGTGTTGTTTTTGTAATTAGCATTACGTGTTTGTTAATTCGTGTTTTTAGATATAGTAAATAGTTTATTATTAATTTATCATCTTTATAAATGTTATTTATTTATGTTTCTGCATTGTGTATTTTTGTTTGGTAGACAGACGTTTCGGCAACGACAGACGTTTCGGCCTCGAAGGTTAAGTGGGTGCTAATAGGAGCTAACTGTTTAGGTTTAAGAATTTCGGGGAGAGTTTAGGTTTCCACATAAGCACTGACCTAGGATGATGAAAACTTAGTCCTTGATATTTCCTAGTTTTCATAAAAATACGGAAGATACATGAAATTTAGATACAAAGTTGGATTCGCTGTTTTGGTTGCTGCTGGTGCTGAAGAACTTTCTTGTGGTTTTCTGGTAATTGTGTTTCTGAAGTAAAAGGAATAAATTTGGGGCTCTCGGGTGAGAACCACATTAGTGTGTTTCCTACTAACAATGTTTTTGTTCCACTATCCCCGGGTTAGGGCTAGGGATTCTTACATCTAATTGTTTTTATTTACTAAGGGTTAGAACTAGGGTTCGATATATTCTTGACTCTACTTTAGGATAAGGTTTGGTCTTAGTCTAATTTACTGTGCACTAAGATGTTGTTCAGATTTTATTTTTTTTATTTATGCAATTATAAGTTTCTGTGTGAAGATTTTTAGGTGAATTTCCTGGAGATCAGTGTAATGTTTTTTGATGATTTTGGATTCGGTTGCTGCTGTTGCGCTAAATGGGACTAAAAGGGGGGCTATGGTGCTAGCTAGCCGTATGAATATTCAAACCTAGGGGGCTGTTGTTTTCCATTTGTCAATCCAGGGTTTTTTTCTCGTTAACCTAAATGTTTTATTTTCTTCCTATGGGCGTGACAATGAGATCAGAAATGTCATGATTTGGTTGGTTGGAGTGATTTGAGACGGGTTTGTCTATTTTGGTAACTATGTCTGACCGGTGACTGTTAATTCTTTCCCTGAGTGCATTTTTGATCTCTCCTACGTACTGTTTGTCACATTTTCTACAGGAAAGTGGGTAAATTATGTTTGAACTGCTGCACTAAAGTTAGTGGTCTAATATTGGGAATTGTGTACCAGATATTTTAAAAGTGATGGTATATGTATATGATTTTGCATGTCTGACATCTCGGATGGCCACAACTTTTAGTTTTAGATGTTAATTGTATATTATTTGTTTCTTTGACGGCAATTTCAGCTAGAGTATTGTTTTTTATGCGCCGAAGACATTGTTAAGAGTATCCCCTTTCCCTTAGTCTGCGAAAGACTAGACTACACGCAGATTCAATGTCGTCCTTCTGTGTACATATCCTATGAAAACGAAGGATCTGTGATTTATTGTGCCAGAGGTCATTTCGGAACTAGCATATGGTTCTATTTTATTTCAATCATTCGCTTGCGTGCAGGGGGTCATCAGCAGTGGGAGGAAACCGGAAGACCCAGAAAAACCCACGAGGTTAGACAGGCCACTCTACCCCTTATCACGTACAACCAGGGAATCCATACCACGCCAGTTGACTCAATGACAGACCTTATGATGCAACGCACACGCGCTAACCATTTGGCCATCCCCCAACTCCCATTTGAAAGAGCTCAACAGTATTTGATGTATGTCGGTTTCTTTAAAAAATACTTTCGTTTCTCATTGACCTGTTGTTTTTGTCTGCTCTTATAAATACGGTGGTGTCAAGGAAATCTATGCTGTTATGACTTACATTTGCGGTTAATTTGCTTAGTGTTACTTAACTGATTTTCTGCCGCCGAGATATAGTCTGTGAGATTCATTATGACACAACACGAGAATTTATCACTTTTCTTGTTATGTTTTCCGTCTTTTGAGATTTGGTTTTTGTGATTGTGGCTGAAGGGATGAGTTTTTAGGATGGCTGGCGATAATGACATTTTAGGTGAAATGAAATGGGGTTTAACGTCCTACTGTTCTGCTCCTATACTGAGCATATTAGGGAAATTTTGCCCGAGCAGCGGCACTATCTTTTACGTGCATGTCAATGTATACACGGGATCTCGGGTTTTTGTCTTCGTCTCATCCGAAGGGCTAGACAGCTGTCCTTGTTAGGCCCTCCTTTCTGCACCACTGACAAGGGGATACCACGTCGGAATAATCCCGATGAACTGACTCGGCCAACGCTGGGATCGAACAGCCGACCTCCAGACTAGCGAGCCAGCGTCTTACCCACCTAGCCACCATGGCTCCGACTGTTTAGGTGGTTTGAACTTTAGTGTTTATTGATTACACAGTGCAGTATATGGTGTAATACCAATCGTTCAATTTAAAACTCTTAACACATATAAAAATAAAGTTACATAAAAAAATATTTGGGAGTGTTATCCTTTGTCAAGCGATGATGTTTCTGCACTGTTTTGGCCACGGAGGTTAAATGGGTGCTAATAGAAGCTAACTGTTTAGGGTTAGGGACATAATTAGAGTTAAAACCATAGGCCTATCTAAATTTTTGACTATTTAAGGAACCTAATCAAACCGGGTACCAAGTTAAACCGGGAATCTAGCCAAACTGGATACCGAGTTAACTCGGGAATATAGCCTAACCAGGTCCCAAGTTAAACCGGGAACCTAGCTAAACTGGTTATCTAGTTAAACCCGGGTTAAACCAGGAACCTAATTAAACTAGAAATCTAGTCAAACCGAGTTCCTATTCAAACCGCGACAATGGTGTCTTTAACCAGAAACAATGTGCCTAATCTTTCTGGAACATATGTCATTTATTTAAAATGTTTATATAGCTAAAAGATTATGTTATTATTTATCTAACAAGACATGGTATGCATGTTCTATTTCAGCAGTGGAATACACATTGTTTACAGATAAAGTTCAGTTTTGGAAAGCTCGAATGATTTGTCGTTTAAATGGTGGAACCCTAGCAACGATTACTGACAAGGATACGTTAGATACAGTAAATAGTTTCATAGCAAATGAATGGAAACTAAAGTAAGTACAAGAAACAAATTGAAACCTATCTATATTCTTAAAATATTTTCGAGCAACGTCAACGAATGTTTCAAATTGAGTCAAAATATCAGTTTCCGCATCAGGGAAATGTTTCATGTTCTTGTGGTTTCTTGTAGGTTTACTGACTCGAATCGTGATGCCTGGATCGGTCTTTACTGGTATTCAGAAGACATTTTATTATGGGATGATTACTTCTGTCCGAATGCTAGTGAAATAGCTACCGAGCTCTTAACGACCGCGTCGCATGCTACAACCTATACTGCAGAGAGACTTTGTTTTCAGATTGAAGGTGGTCTACTTATTCTAGATGTATGTCAGAATGTGGAATATTTTATCTGTCAACAAGTCATGGGTAAATATGCCATTAAAGATGCGTTACGTAAGATCTAGATAAAGAACTGATAGTTCTTGCTATAATAATTTTAAAATAGATAACGAAAAATGAATATATTAAACATACATTATGCAACAGTTAAATCTGTCTATTGCAGGCCTTTCTTTAGGCCTGAAATGTTATCTAAATTATTAATTAGACATTAATTAACCTATCCAGACCATAATCAACTCTAGATCGCATCACTAGCCTGTGATGTTTAGTGGATTATAAGCCGATTTACTGCATAACTTTCCTTCACGATTTAATAATTAAAGGGATAATCGAGACTATGCTGTTTATCGTACTGACTTTAGTAATGATGATCGAGGCTAGGCGGAAATTTCAATCACTTAGTTCTCGGTTCATAGTGGATCAATTTGAATAAAATTTTCAACAAATTGCCTTTACATTATCTAGTTTTTAACTATTATAGTGAGAACTGCCAACTTATTTTTTTTTCTGGGCGAAGTTATGATTGTTTAGAGATGTAGCGCAGATCGTTTGTTATCGTAGCAACTGTACTTGACAAACGAGACTAAGAATCAATTATTCACATTATCGTTAAACTTTTAGATCACACCGGTGTCCAAATCAATTTAAATCTTGGCCATCAAAATGGTCTAGAGAGTTGATTATAGACTTTACGTTTAAATAAATGTCTAACATTTGAAGCCAAAAGAAAGCCCTGCAGATTTAGCTATTATATAGTGCGCCGTGTTTACAAAACCAAAGTAGACCAACCTATTTGTGATAGATTGGCGTACTCAGTTTTTAATTGAAACAGATTTAAATAAGCGGATTGCTTTAATTTGAAATGGGTGAAACGTCACATAAATTGTCCCTTATCTCTAATAAATAATAAACCCCAGAGGCGTGCTGGGGCCTCCGGGGGTAGACAGCCCAAACTTGGGGCACTTTAGAGGGAGGCGGCACATGCTAATATGGATTTGGCGTATATCTGAGCCGTGGCATACTATACATTGACACTTGGTTCAGGGATTATGTTTTAATTCCTGAAAATGTAAACATGGACAAGAAACAAGATTTAAACGATATACGACGAGGAAAGAAAAATAAGCATTTTGATTATTATGGAAATATTAATCCGGTTGTGCAATCTAATCTGTAAGTCATCGGTGGAAGTTTCCATGAGTCCCTTAATTGAAAATGTCAACATTAAAAACAAGCATATTCTGGACATTGTCCGTCGCACACACAAATGCAATTAGATTTTTTTGGCACACCATAATATACTCTTCAAAAAAGTAGGGGATATTCAGAAACAATAGAAAACTGCGGAAATGCACTGCTGTTTTTATTAGAGGTAACCAGTGTATGTTAATAACAGGCGGTTTATCTGACGGCTACATTTCACTCGCAGAGAGATACACTGTCAAAAGTGAAAATGAACGTTTTTGTTTTTTTGTCTTAATAATGAGTAATAGCTCCACCAATCCTCAGATATTCAGCCATTCGTCGTGGCATGCTCCTAATCAAGCGTTCAGTCACGATTTGGGACAATCTGACGCACTCCTCTTGCAGTGCCGCGGCCAATTCTTGCAGTGTTGTCGGTTGACGTTGATGTCGACGAACACGTCTCCCGATCAAATTAAACGTAACACACTAATGCAAAGATACGCTAAACAGTAAATCTTATGCAAAGACCGATAGGAAAGCAAACATGGATAGAATAAACCAGAAGGCGGCAGTTTTCATCAACCCTTCATTGAAGTGTCAAATTTGACAATGAACCCCTCCCACGTGTATGGCGCTATTGCGTGTCGCATGTGCAGCTCAGTGGTTCTGTTGGGGCAATAAGTTCTTCATCTGTGAACATACTCTCAAAGCATGTCAAGTGTCCATGACTATTTATCATATAACAACCTGCATAGGTATTTGCATTTCAATATCCCCTACTTTTTTTGAAGAGTATAAATCAAATCCTGAAATATTTTTTTAGAACTAATTTGGGGGACACCTTTAACATTGGGGCTCTTGGCTGCTGTCTGGTCAGAATCCCACTTAATCTCGGCCTGGTGGAAATGGCTAAAAATCTCCAAAATATGGACTTCGTCATTTTCTCCAGAAATGTATGCCAAAATCCGACACTTTTTGTTTGGCCAGGGCAATAAGTACAGCTACTATTCATCTCTGGTCAGAGGCGGGCTTGGAAAAACATAATTTGACATATATATTTTTTTCTCAAAGTTACTAAAATTCATCTTCGTATCCACTGAAAAAAATAACGGCCACAATCTGAGGAGAAAAACGATCTATATGAGTGAGGTGCAGGAATATCGTTTTCTCGTCAGGTCACCTTTTCTTCACCGCGATATGGGCCCAACGAAACCAGTTGGTCTGAGGGAATTGAACTACCCAGTGGACCTCTGACAATTTTAATCCGGGGATAAATTCGGAAGTATGATCGAAACCGAAATCAGAGGAAATTAGATACCAGCCATACAAGTCGATCACCAGCAGCGTTAACTGGTTAGCTGTCCAACTGAGGACTAAAGCCAGCGAAGAATGAGGATTGATAAATGGTGCAAGTACGTTCTTTGAAATGAAAGGAAATGGGGTTTGACGTATTACTTTTTTGCTCCGACTGCGATAATGAAGACGGGCATACGCCAGACAGTGTGCTATGAGGGAAATTTTGCCCGGACAGCGGCGCTAGGGCCTACTCTTATATGGAATTCAAACTGTCCAGGGATCTTTTACATGCACGCCAATGTGTACACGGGACCTCAATTGTGCGTCCCATCTGAACGACTATACGTTGTCCCCTACCATTGACAAGGAGGAATCACGCTGGAAAATCCCAACGAACTTTCTCGACCAACGCAGGTATCGAGCACGTGACCTCCATGTTAGTGAGCCAACGTCTTACCCACTGAACCCACGTAGATTGGGAGGCGGAGGGGGGGGGCTGTTTCGGAACAGAGGGCAAATAGCCACACCCACACCTATAACCCGTTTGGAAATCTCACCGGATTCGAGTGCTAACAACTATTTCTAGTTTCTTTTGTTTTTGCAAACACTGCCTAACCTGCCTACCTACCTACCTATAAAACACTATCAAAACGGTATTTTAATATAGCCATCATTTGATTCGATATGAAATACATTATGTGAATTGAAATTTCCATAAATCTTTACAATCTGTTGTATAAAGCCTACACGGTTTGAGCTGATATTTTTAATTCTGTAACTTTATAGAAATTACATGATTTATTATAACTGTATATGCGCCGCCTTTCACCGTGTAAAACAAGTTTAATTTGGTCATAAATCTATACAATCTTCTGTATCTGTTTGTTTGAGATGATATATTTAATTTTATAACTTTATAGAAATTGCATGATTTATTATAACTTAATAATTTATTATTTATATCTATATATGTGTTGCCTCTCACTGTGTAAAACAAATTTCCTCTGAGATAATTAGGTTTTACGTTATTCTCGTTTTTTATTTAATCCACACAACCAATTAATTTAATGTATTGGGTTAACCAAAATAGCATCACTGGCTTCAATCGTCATTATCGTAATTTATTAAAGCTTCTTGATTTTAGCACACAATGTCGACGTGAACGACTTTTCATTTTGTTCTTCCACTTCCTCTTGAGAATGGCTGTGCTAGAATCTGTATACGACATTATTGTAGACTCATAGATGCGTTGGTGTCTGACGTTGACATTGATTTGGATATTTATATATTTTTTTGAATATTTATAAAAACACTGTCAGCACGCACAACACATTCAAGCATTCAAATTATCTGTTACTTGTCGGGTGTCAAACAAACTATGTGAGACAGAGGTTTGGCTCCTTTAAACGATAAAAAAAAAACCATAATTTCGTACTTATAATATGTCAATAAACAGTCCTTTTGATCAGATTTTCGTCCAAACGACAATGCGTGAACATAATAGAGTGCTAAACATACGCCAAATCTGTATGTTTACGCCAAATCTGTATGTTTACTATAGAGAACAGCGCGTTGAACAAACATCACTTCCGGTTTTAATAGAAATTAATTTCTCGTTTACAAAAAACATTTTGTTTTACTTATGTTACAGACGGGATTATTTCTGAATATATATTTAAAATTGATCGAAACCGTGTTGAAAATCGTTGGTCTTCCCTTCTAAACATATACAAGATATTTGACCTTTACTGGACGACCAATCGAATGTCCACATACCTATAAGGATATGCTCAAATCCTTATAGAAGCATTTCTGTATTGTATGCTCAAAGTTGTTTTTTTTACAAGACTATAAACGTCTTATGTGCACTGCACGTAAGAATATTGAACAGCCTTCTAATAAAAGTAAGTTATTATTTTCCTTTCCAAAACACAGTAAGTGTTTGTCTTCCCTGCGGGCAAGGGGGTGTCTTTATTACTACAACACACCCAGCAAATAATATAAAATAGATTTTTGGTTTTATTTTCAGGTACTTGTACGGAGGAGCCGTGTGCAACAGGTTTGTTGGATTTGGGTAGTAATATTTTGGTTGTTGTTTCTGAATATAGTAATATTTGGAATGGTTAACAAATAGTTGTTGGTATAGTCATGGATTTGTTATGTCTCCAAGAGTCCAAGTATCCCGATTGCTTCATACCAGTTGGAATGAGATGATATAGAATTCTGGCAAAACGTAACAAAACACCCCTACTTACAGTCAAACAGCAAACACACACTTAGAAATGGGACACAATCTAGAACATTTCGGGACTAACACATGGTTCAATTTTATTTCAATAATTCGCTTGCGCGTAGAGATCTTTAGCAATGGGAGGAAATCGAGGACCCTGAGTAAACCCACGAGGTTTGACAGGCGACCCTACACCTTGTCATGTATAACGGGGAATCGAAACCATAGCAGTTGACTCAATGACAGACCTTATGATACAGCGCCCACGTGCTAACCATTCAGCCCCCCCCCCCATCCCCTTACAGTCAAACTGCAAAAATAACCCATCCCTTCAAACTGTTTAAACAGTTGTCAATTAAATCTTAACAAATTCTTCACACGATCTTTATACAAGTTTACTTTATTGGTCACACTACAGTTTCTGGTCCGCAAAACCCGTAATCGTGTTCTGATGTTCTGAAATAACAATACTTAACCTTAGGTTCTGAACAGAGTCATCGTACAGAGTAGCCAGATTGCGAGCCCGAAAACCCTTGAAGAAACATAATTTATTATTATTATTTTTTTTAATATAATAAAGTTTATTTGCAAATACATACATGTAAGTATATGCGTATAATACAAACGGGATCAGAACAAATTGTACAATTTACGAATTTTCTCCCAGTATAATCTAAAATATTTACAATTACCACTGAAATTTAATTTAATATATAGTTATATACATATATACATGCTACCTTAGGATAATAAATTAGTCCATTTCGTTACATGCTCAATGAGTATTAACAGTGATAAACTACTGGGGAATTAGAATAATAGCTACAGATTACATGTGAATCTTTTCGTTTCTTTAATGTAATTTTGTACGGTGAGAAAAATATGGATATTAAAAGATTTAGGAAATAGAGTAGAACCATCTAAATAAATTTTATGCAACTCAGGTCGTGGTAGATGGCCTATAAAGCCAAGTTTATCAAGTAAGTGATGGCGTTGTAACACATATTTTGAGCAATCAAAGAAGTAGTGAAAAGAATTTTCAATGTTTTTATTATCACATTTACAGTATGGATTTTGAACGATGTTAGATTTTAAGATCATAATTTAGACCACTACAGGTGTGGCGTATACGATTATGGTAAATGGATAATATTCTATTGCCAATGTTTCTTAATCTTGGAGGTTTGACGTTAGTCTTTATATTAGTTTTAAACTCAGATAAAGATAGAGTGAATTTTAAACCCGGACTTAAACTATTGAATTGTTGAATGGTTTTAGGAAAAAATGAGTTCTTTGTTACAGTTAAACGAACAAGTGGTACTTTTAGATCATTACAGTTTCTAAGATTTTAACTATTGCTATGATAACTTATTATGTCTCTTCTGAATAGTACCCAAGCACAGTGGCCGTTTCCGATTCAAACCCCTTAATATAGTTCTAATGTTCTTGAAGAACAATAATTTAACCTTCTAAATAGCCCCAACGTGCAGTGGCACTTTCCTGTCTGCAGAACTCATTGTCCAGTTTTGATGTTCTTGAAGAACAATAATTAACCATCAGTTCTGAAGAGTATTGATTAGTCAGATATAGTCTATAAGTACTAGTGTTATGATTGTTATTATTCATTAAAATAAACGGACTTTGATTCTCATTTTTATGTTTTCAACAAAATCTAAAGAATGGAAATACCATTACAAGAATCGATCATGTACATGTATGTCTATCAAGCGATAGCAAGCTTTAAATATTTTTGTTTGCTTTTGTTACAATTGAACAGATTTATTTGACTTTTCTTATATGCCTGTAACTCTAAATTATGTATATTTGTTTATCTAAATAATGGTAGCCAAAGTATGTCAAGTTGACGAGTCACGTAACACAAGCGGTTATTTTAGAGAGATTGGTGTCAAAATGTGATACTAGAAATGTGACGCAAACATGGTCGTTGAGAATGCAAAACGTAATGTGAAATTAAAATGGCCTATTTCGTTCGAATTTATATTGATTCAATGGCACTTAGTACATGTAACTGAAATAGGAATATCTAGGGATACTATTATTGTTTATTACTAATAAGCGACATTTCAACTAGAAATTCACAGGACACAATTCCACGGAATACAATTGTTGTTTATTACTAATAAGCGACATTTAAACTAGAAATACACAGGACACAATTCCACGGAATACAATTGTTGTTTATTATTAAGCAACATTTAAACTAGAAATACACAGGAATGCAGTTCTTTGGAATATAAGTACTACTTTTTACTAAGCGACTTTCCAAATGGAAATACACCGGGCACGATTCTATGGAATAATGTGTATTAGTGAGCGCGGCTTTTCCGAAAGAAATACACAGGACACACTGTAGAACCATGGGCCTTTTGTCAGACGTGGATAGCGGGAATTGGCGAAATCGGTCGCCACATCCTACATACGACCTATGCATCTTTCTTACTACATATTACTGTAGCCTGTGATCGTCTAGAATTTGTCTCTAGCTGTATTTGCTTCTGCTTCACGTTGTGTATTTACTTCTTACTGTTTTTTTTAAGACGTTTGTCTTCTCAGTTATAACAATGCAACAGTTCGTTTTTACATTTTATATAGCATAGCCGAATACAGGTATACAGCCATAGCACAGATTACAATACTAGCTAAAACCATTTCTCCACCCTAGCCAGCCTCGCGGCTGTCTAGGAACTCAGATGGAACCTCTCTGGAATCTAATGGAAGTCTGCTTGAAAGTTTCAAATAGATATCTTATATAGCATTCACGTATATCACGCATAACAGAGCGTGTTCGTGGCCCCGAACTTGTGTAATTAACAAAATGATTGGTTAAATTAAACCCAATGACGCAATAGTACTTTTCCTTGCACACGTGCTCTCTGTGGTATTTTATAGACACATGTTTTGGCTAACTAACTCTTTTTTATATAACAATATGTCATTTATACCCGAAGTTGATTTAAGTGCACACTATATATATGTGAATATGTGTAAAACTATTAATTTGCCAAATATATTAATTAATGAAATATAAAGTCATCTTTTTTCTCTATTCTTTGTCTATAAATTTAAAACAATGTCGCCACGACTATATTGCTACAACACTTCAATGGAGAGAATTACTCATGACACAATTCTATAGAATACACTTATTGTTTCGACTATCCTGTATATCTTACGAATTTGTTTCATACTGTTTTGTGTATTTCAGCGAAATTGGTATCTCAGTATAAAGAAGGAAACCCTGGAGAATGTCCTGAAAGAGGTTAGATCATATTTAATATTAATTGTCCTTATCTTAACCATATATTGTGCATGAAGGGGAGGGTATATTATCAACTGGTCCGATGGTTTTGACTATGTGCTAATCGGAAATATTCGTTGGTCGAGGTTCGGTTTGGAAGAAGCGGCTAAATTTTTTTATAAAGAACACTGGATACTATTTTTCATGTCATAGAGATAGAGAGTGGGTGGGTGCGGGGTTTAACATCCACGCGTAACGTAGGGGCCTTTAGCAGAGTTAGGACCAGTAGAAAACCCACGAGGTTATACAGGCGACCCTTCTCCTTGTCATGTACAAGCGGCGAATCTAAACCACACCATTTGACTCAATGACAGACCTTGTGATATGAATGGGCCAAGAAATGTGTTTAATTCTGAGATTGAAATGTTGTTATTTACTATTCTGGGTAATACTTGTTTCTTATTTATGTGCAGACGAAATCTCACATATAGGGACTAACGTAACCCTGTCTACATTTAAATATCGATCTGTCATTCCGGTAAAACGAAACAAATTATAAAAAGACGATACCCGGGTCATAATTATGGTCTATATCGCGATTATTTCACAAATAAACAGCATGTTGCATATCGCCACAATATATAGTTATATCGCAATGTGAATACTGAAATACCGCAATGTTAAAAATAGCAGATTTCGCCGCCCATCCCTAAAGTAGTCTACTGCGAACTGGGAGTGCAGAGGTCTGGGGATGTCCGGATTAGCTCCTTGATTGTTTTCCCCCAAGACTTAAGTGTAGGGACTTGTAAGAAATAAAGACATTTTAAATATGTCAAAACAGAAAAACTAAATGAATTAATTAGGGCAAATTTCAAATTTAAAGAAGAAAGCTAATTTTATTCTATATTTGATTGAATGCCCTCCCCTCCTGAAATAGATGCCTGGTGCCGTACCCACTTTTGTGCCGCACTCTCCACACCACTGATTGAGAAATAATTCCATTTACTTTTATGGGAGTCGCGGTGCCTCTGCGAGTAACACGTTGGCTTTCAAACCTGAAGATCCCGTTTTCGATCCTGGTGTTGGTTGAGAATGTCAATCGAATTTTCCGGCGTGCCCCCCCCCCCCCAAATGTCAGTGGTGAGCAGATAGCATAGTCATTCGGATGGTCGAAAAACCAAGGTCCCGTGTACACATTGACGTGCAGGTAAAAGAACCCTTAGCAGTTGAAATTCAATATAAGTGTTCCCCATAGCACAGAGTATAGCCCATTCGCAGAAGATTATGCAGGACGTTAAACTCCATTTCATTTCATTTCATTTCATTTCATTTATGTTTTCAGGCAAATTTTTTAAAAAATTGCTACAATTTTATGGATTTTTGTATTTGTTGTAGCGACGTGGATGCCCACCATTACCCACTATGAAACAATGACCATATACAGCAGTGTCATACAGTTGGTGAATCAGACGGTGACGGCAACGCAAACAGAAACTACTTCAGTGGTAGTTACTCAATCCTTAACAGTTACGTTTACGGAAACACACATTCAAACAATGTACACAACAGTGATAACCAACCAACCAACGGTTGTCGTAAATACGATATTTCAAACGGTGACGCCATTACCAACAGCAGTAGTTACAACCGTTCCAGCAACCGTTATAATTTCCGTGACAGAGACAGTGATAAGTGTACAACCATCCACGGTATATAAAACAGTGTTCCAAATACCACTAGCAGGAAGTAGCAACTTATGCGGTAATTCTCCAGAGACGCCATCTCTAGCACCACCGATTATGTCCAGCTTCAATGACAACAGTTCATTGTACGAGGAGGACTCGTCGAAAACATGGCTGTGTCGCTACGTCCCTGTGGTGGATTATCATACATCTTCAGTCAACCTCATTGTCAGTAGCCTTGTCGGCGAATTAACTGTTCAGAAAGGCGTACTTTCAAAGACTGTTTATAAAAAGAATTGTATTGCCGACCATAGACCAACGGCCATTACTATTGGGTGTTTCGGGATAATAATGGTTTCAACTGTGATAGCAGTGATCATTTTTTTTGATGTACAGAAAATGGTTGTCCACGCCATTCATTTGTGTAAATCATGAATACATGCTGGTCTTAAGCATATTGTAGATTGCAACCGATTCTTAATAACAACCAATAGGTTGCTCTCTGACTTACATTATATCGATACACACTATACAGATTATCGCCAGATGTTAGTGCACTTATCGAAGGTGTTTTCAAAGTTCTTAATTATTTTTCTCTGTGATCTGTTTATTTCTACACAATCTTTCAGATGTTTTTATTTTCTGTTTTGGGAAACAAGTCATGTAATCATTTTTAAATAAATAAATCGATCAGAAGAAGTAAAAGCACGAATCAACGTTCGGCAAAAATATGTTCTTAATTGTATTTTAGTAATTTCAAAATTTAAGGACAATCACCAAAACATCTGACAAAGGATAACTGAATTCGACACTTTTCTATGTGGAACTGCTTATTCGGAAAACTTATTTAAGCGATGTCATTGGGTCATGGTCCATATCAAGGACATGTCACTGCTTGTAACTAATGACCAAAGAGTCGACGTGGAATGTTCGGAGACGCTATTCCACCCAGATTTTATCTTGAACGACGATTTTACTTTGAATTCTTTCCATTAGATTATAAAGCGATAAGCACAGAATATTAGAGTACTAGGATACCTGGTTTAAACCTGTTTGATCACTGAGCCACCGTGACATGTCAAATCAACCTAAGCCTATAGGATTCTAGGATTGGATGAACTTCAAGATGGATGATTGTTTTTGATGGACAGTTGATAATTAAATAAATCCAGAATAATCTTACGGAAATAAACTCCAACACAACAGTATACAGGAATATTTTTACTGCTATACTTATGTGCACTGTGTATTTAAATATAGCGAATCGTTACAGTCTTATTTTACCGTATAAAATTCAGATTATATTAAGAGTTTTGTAAATAAATGAACATCTTTAATAATTTGTGTCATTGTTTATTTTTTAAATGGGGTTTAATATTTTACTTTTAAAGATACATTATGTAAAAACCAAATCTGTCAATTGTGGGTCTTTCGTTTAGCCTCAAATGTTATCTAAATTATTAATTAGACATTTATTAACATGACAATCCCATAATCATCACTCTAGAGCATCGGATGGGCGCAATTTTCAGTTGATTGAAACACGATCTCCGTTTAATTATTTAATTTAAAAGTGGCTAATCGAGACTTTCTTTTTTGTCGTAATAGTGGCACTTGACAACCGAGAGTTATAACTTGGTTTAGAATAAGGTAATTTAATATATTCATTTTTCATTTTCTATTTTAAAACTAATTATAGCAAGAAGGACTGACTCTTTGTCTAATGCATCTTTAAACGACCCCAAGGTACGCACTGTATCCTATTGGAATTTAGTATTTTGAGAACTCAGTAATCAAATATATCAAAATTAACATTACTTTATTTATCTAAGTATCCTATTACTTAAGTGAGAAGTAATCAATTGGGATAAATACGCTAGACAGAGATGTTTTTCTAATAGAACTATGAATACGACCTTTAAAAACTCTATAATGTAACCTTTATTTTGGCATGTTGATTCCTTAACCACGTCAATAAGAAACCAGTCACCGGGACAACAACATTCTGCACACATAGATCCATCTACATCATACTTCGAGAATAGATCTCTGCCCTAATTGGCCTCCACATCCAAAATATAGTATTCTATTTTTAATGCGTTTCTACTTCATTTTACATCTGTTATACACACAAAGAACAAATAAACCTTTTGAATTTTATTGGATGGATGCGTAATAAATACTTCTCAACATTCTTGACGTATTCAAAGTATTTTTGTCTAAAATCGTCGATTTATGGTTTTAAATGTCCTATAGTAAATAACTATATCAATAATGGTGAGTCATAAATGTTTCTTGGGGGACTTTTACTCCATTGATTTCGGTGAAGTCTGGAACTTCGCGGGGGTAACTCCATAAATTTTAACTATTAGTGCAAAAACGGAAATCGTCGATTATATTGAACGCCATGTTTCCATAAATGGAGGGAGACTATTTTGATATAAATATCATTATATAGATTTAATAACTTAAAATAAATAACTAGGCCGATAAACATGTGGGTATTTCATAGCTTAAACAATATTGTAATAAAAATCATATAATTCTTTTATTTATGGAATAACAATTACTGGTTTAATAACATGCAAAGTTTCGACGACGATACTCGTTTTTAAAAAGTACTCAGGGATAGACAATCTCGATGTACTGGTAATCAACAACCAAATATCCTAATTGTTGATAACCGGTTATAGGGGGCATAAATTGAGTTCAATTACGGACACCATGTAACTATTCAAAAATATTCAAATAAGAATAGGTTGATGCATATACAAAGTTTCCTAAAGATATCTAAAACGGTTTAAGGGATCAGCTCCCGAATAATAACCGTGGACCAAAACTCTTTTCCATGGAAACACAACTGTTATTCAACAGAGAAATTTCGAGTTAGCAAAGGACTCCTTCCACAGTACCACAATCTGATCAGATCTATATTTCGTTTCGTTTTTTATACTTTCGATGGCCTACAATGCATGAAGATCTGAACGGATGTAGTGTAAGGTCGCGTCAGGGGTCGTACGAGAGGCTTTTGACCCTATGACGTTTACCCTATGACATTGATTAATCAATCAACGTGGACGTTTCTATTAGTTTACCTACAGTTCCGTGCATTGCATGCAAAGAATTCGCCGTAACAGGCCGTTTCATTGGCCAATCCCTCACGTCAACGAGAACTCGGGTTATATAACAACTCTTCCAGATCCTAGTGTTGTGAAGACAAGTAAAACGAAATTTTTAACTATAAAAAACGAAACGAAATAGGATCTGTGTTTAATCAAATTGACAGTGCCACACTCTTGGACAAGTTTTGGAAGGTACAATTATAGAGAATCTCTATGTAATTGGTAGTCTACACCTAAATACTAGTGCACATGTTCTAAATAGTAAATATTGAGCCGCGGTGACTCAGTGGGTAGGAATGAAGTGGGCATTCAGGTTGGAAGTTAAACACCATTTCATCACGAAAATATGCTGTGATGTTCCGACCTCGATTTCTGCAACATATGTCATTTTCATGTTACACTAGATTACCTAGCATTATCCTACCCCGCATTCAATTACATTCGGGTTTAGATTTGGCACACAACCATAGCGAGGATCAAACATGCAACTTTATGGTTTCAGGCCCTGTCCGTGCAGTAACGTAAGGCGTTGAACCTATGTTTTAAGGTCAACCGTGTCCTTTCTCTGATCAAGTACACAATTCTAATATGATCTGCTTTTCTTTACTTCACACAACAATGCCGGATAAGAAATTGAATCTAGATTAAAACAACATTATTTATTGTGCCTTTTCTACGTACTTTGTTCTGCGTGATTCTCATTCCAAACAAGATAATCCAGACGATAACATCACAAGAATGGTAAAATGGCAAACCCACAATAGATATGTGGAATAAAGGCGTAAGAATGTTTACATTCTACATTAAAATAATATGTAACCAGAGTTTCTGTGCTTTGAAAACAAGCAGCTTTACGTTATTGCGCTAATCTGATCAATGTGATTTTGAAATTTCTCTTGTAATAACAGTTTAAGGGTTCCTACAGTTCTAATACTGTATGAACAATAAATTTGGTATTTCCGCATTCGATATTATAATAAATATCTGGATATCCAAATTCACTCAGGGCCCAAGAACTGCACATGGCCCAAGATCTATGACCTTGACCTTTATAAATCATGGCCTACAACATTCAGGGGTTCATGCTGATGAGTTTGATGCCACATGTTGGGATGGATCGCGGCGACGATGTGTGAAGGGCGAACTTACACACAGACATCCTTGATTTATATAGTTGTAACATGGACGGGAAAGCTTCCTTTGTTCTTTTCGTTGAATAAGCAGATTGTTTTCCCTCTAGTAGATTGGGTGGAGCTTAACCGTGCAATAACTGGACATGTTCAATGTTAGAAATCATATAAAGAAGTGGGGTGGGTTTTCTGTGCAATAACAACAAGCATGTTGAGTAGGTGTCAATGTTACAAGTCATTTATAGCATGAAAGCCGTGCTATAAATATAACATAGATAGATATTGATAATACAGACCCTCCTGGATGTCATATATTCTTGTCTCGGAATCCAAGTAAGGTGTTGACTTGTTAACCGGTATGTCCCGTGTTTGATCCCTGTTGTCATCGGGGTTTTCCGCCCCCCCCCCCCCCCGTCCTCCCCCACTGGCAGTGGTGCAGGCCGAAGAATCTGTCAATGGACGGGCAACCTATAGTAGTTCGGATGGATTCTAAAAACGAGATCCCAGTTGGAATTCGATATAAGAGTAGGCCGTAGTGCCACTGTCCGGGCATGGGCAAGTTTTTCTTCATAGCACACTGTACGGCCCCTGACCGTCTTCATTAGCTCATTGGGAACAGAACAGTAGGACGTTAAGTCTCATTTCATTTCATTAAAGTCTTATATTACAGTCTTTTCAGGCGAAATAAAATCTTTCCAAACAAACTCTACTGAGTATTGATCTTGAAAATAAATATAATCCAATTATAAGTCAATCTGATTAAAACACAGATCCAATTTCGTTTCGTTTTTATAGTTCAAAATTTCGATTTTACTTGTCTTTACTACTGTACGCCATCGAAAGTATAAAAAACGAAACGAAGTATAGATCTATATTTTAATTAGATTGATTATAAGTGGATTTTTTGGTGAATAAAATAATGTTTTGTTCTAGAGTTTATGTGGTTTAATTAATATATACTATTCAAAAAAAGTAGGGGATATTTGATTTTTAAGTGTTATTAAAGTCACCTAATGAAACTGACGAAGAAACAAATGACAAAATGAAATGAAGTTCACATTCATCGATTTATTCCAAATGATCGTTAGACTAAGTAAGGCACAGACTGACCATTATAAGGGTAAAATGATACCCGGGGTCAAACAGCAAAGTTACCACAGCATCACAACCAAGTCAGTAACGGGTAAATCCTCCTCTGTTTGCCAAACAAGCATTGATCCGACGTGGCATACTCCTAATGAGACGTCTATGGTCATTTTGGTCCAGATTGTCCCATTCCTGTTGCAACGCAGCAGCAAGTTCTTGGACATTGGCAGGACGTTGTTGACGTTGACGTAACCTCTGTCCAAGCATGTCCCAGACATGCTCGATGAGGGAGAGGTCGGGACTCAGTGCTGGCCAAGGTAATGTGGTGATGTTCTGTTGTTGGAGGTAACCTGTAACGAGTCTGGCCCTGTGACATCTTGCGTTGTCATCCTGGAAGATGAAACGGCGGCCATGACGTCGTGCGAACGGCACAACATGGACTGCCAAGATGTTGTCCCGGTAGTACTGGCCTGTAACACGCCCTGCAACAACATGTAAAGCCGTTCTTCCAGCAACAGTGATGCCTCCCCACACCATAACAGAACCACCCCCAAATCGATCATGTCTGATGACGTTAACGTCTTGGAAGCGCTCGTTTCGACGACGCCACACCCTCCTACGTCTGTCCAAAAAATCAACAGTGAACCTTGACTCATCTGAAAACATCACATTGCTCCAGCGTCGATTATCCCAGTGTTGACGATCCCTACACCAACGACGTCTTGCCTGAATGTGATGATCTCTCAAACAAGGGATCACGCGAGGACGTCGGGCGCGAATTGTCTGGCCACTCACTCTCACACCAGTGTCTGTTTGAAGACGAGCGCTGATCTGATTTGCTGTGATGACACGATTTCTCAAGGCCAAGGTACGGATAAATCGATCCTGGGATTGAGTTGTCGCCCTTGGTCGACCTGAGCGTGGTCTGTCCGGTACAGATTGTGTATCACGGTATCTGGACCATAGCCTGCTTATGACAGACTGAGAAACATTCATCGTCCGCGCCACAACCGCCTGTGTTGTGCCGATCTGTAGCATGCCAAGGGCACGTAACCTTTCATTTTGGGTAAGCCGACGCATATCAAAATTTGTTTTCTGGTCACTAAAACAATTAAACTGATGTTTCCACCCTGGAATTCAATGCCACAATGACTGTAACATTCAAAGTCAGAGTCGTGCAAATCTTGGGTTGGACCCCCATGATGATCCCAAGCATCACCTGCATTCCATGCGGTAGCTATTGGTGCGTTTGGGCGTCACATGTAACTTAGGTTCTATAGTGACTTTTTTCGTAGTCATTTGCATATTTTAGTATTATGCCCCCAAAATCAAATATCCCCTACTTTTTTTGAATAGTATAGCTTCATTGTTAATAAAATATTTCTGTTATTTCACAAGAAATAAAATATTTTGCTAATGATGTTGATATTATTTATAAACTCAAGATTAACTACTAAGCTATTTTAGTATCCTGAACTATTTGACAGATATACCTAACCATCTTTATCATACTAATCGTTAAACAAACATATTAAACTCGAAATTCGAACACTCAGAGGTTATTGTATATTCATGACTTTACTTCTATTGATATGGGTGGGGGGGGGGGGGGGCAAATGGTTTAACGCGTGAACGTTAGAACACAAGTTATGTCATTGAGTTAAGTGGCGTAATTAACCTGTAAAAATCCAAATGTATAAGGACTTTGCGTTTAAGACTTTTTAATTAAGTTTTTGTGCTGGTCCTGTGTTCACAAGTCATTCTCAGACTTAAGTTGAGAATTTACATAAAATTGTTCGTCTCATTGTAACTAAAATATATCCCTTTATAAAACATTTGTTGTTTTAATGTATGAAATACATTAATATGAAACTATGTGCAACGTTTTGAGTTTTTGGATCAAACGTATTTCTTAAAAACAGGGAATGGAAGAAGAGTAAATTCTTAACTTAAGTCTAAGAATGCTTTGTGAACTCGGGGCCAGGGGGGGTTGGGTGGCCGAATGGTTAGCACGTGCGCGCTGTATCATAAAGCCTGTCATTGAGTCAACTGGCGTGGTTTCGAATCCCTGGTTGTACGTGACAAGGAGTAGGGTCGCCTGTCCAACCTCGTGGGTTTTCTCCGGGTCCTCCGGTTTCCTCCCACTGCTAAAGACCCCTACGCGCAAGCGAATTATTGAAATAAAATTGAACCACGTGTTAGTCCCGAAATGACCTAGTTTGTGTCGAGTGGACGTTAAACCCCATTTCTCTCTCTCTCTCTCTCTCTCTCTCACTCGGGGCCAGACTTCCATCTTCGCAAAGCAGATTATGAAATTACACTGTTAAAAATGGGTGTAAAAACTAAAAGCAGTGTTAATTAAGTGTAAACTTTACACCACAGCTAGCGTTTTTTAAATGTAATACCTTTCCAAGGGTAACCAACTAATAGAATTACACCTAACCGATATTCATGACTACTTAACACCTGAATAGGTGTAATTGTGATGTGTTTTGGATAAGCTACACCCCTACCAGTGTTATACCGCATTTACACCAAAGAGTGTAACTATTATTGGGGAATAATTCATAGAAAAGCGTAAATTTTATAGCGTTTATTGGGTTGCAAAAGTGTAATCGATATTCATGAGTACTCAACACCAGGATAGGTCTAATTGTAGCCGCTAAAGGGTGTTTGGGATGAGCTACCCCTCTACAGGCGTTTTATTGCATTTACGCCAACAGGTGTAATTATTTTAGGGAAACATTTCTTTGAATAAGTTGTCAATTTTACACTGTATCTTCCGTTACAAAAGTATTTGTGTACTCCAATTTGAATGTTTTTTGTAAAATATAGCGTTGATTGCACTAGTAACACAACAACTATAACTCATTTTAGAGTGTTTACTCATAACGAGTAAAGTATAGATTATTTTAGCTTGTATACACTTAAAGACGTGTAAATGTTCCAAAATATTACCAAGTACAATATCTTCATTAGTAATTCTTAATTCAGGTAAGGTGCATAAATGAATAAACCACATTATTTAGCTAAGTTGTAAAGATATGTGTATTGATTTTTCCTCATGATTTATATTTATTGTGAATTGATACAGATTGTCTAATTGCCCAACATCAGTTGAATTTGATTCAGTCTGATGGGTATTTGTCAATTAAATGTCGTTGTAAAATGAAGCGAAGTAGCCGACGGTCTAAATGTAATCTGGGTCGGGCTAAACACCCTATACTAATTATCATAGAGACCGATTGCCAATTTCAAGTTTTCTGAAGTCGTTGGCTTGAAATAAATATCCAACACAAAACAAATTACACCCACGTTGGTGCAATAATTAAAATGGAAGTGTAATTTACAAACCATCCTTAAGGGGTAATGCTTAATCTACATCCACGGGTGTAACGTTACACTTTCTGAGTGCATCAGGCAGGTTACAGTACTGGAAATGGCAACTCGTTTCCATCCGAATTGGTGTAATGTTCTACACTAGTTGGGTGTTATCGGTTTACACCACTAAAGGCTAGGAGTTACCCCTATTTAGGTGGCAACTAGTTGCCACCCAATTGGTGTAAACTACCTTAATATTTTTCACTGTGTAGTCTAAATTCAAATATTACTTTTTTTTTTGTTAGATCGACTCCGCACTCGTGATCCAAATAAGAAATTGTTTACCCAAATCGATACATTTCAAGCGCATGGATTGAACAAGCAAACAATCTTTGTCAAACATCAATAGTAGTTTCCATACACCACTCTCGACTGAAAATTTATAAAGTGAAATTGTACTCAAGGTAATTTTTCAAGATAATGAATTTGGAGTTGCGACGAAATATTGAGGCGACTATATAAGGTCACTAACCCCGAGGTCACCTGTTTCGATCTGAGTAATTTCCCTGGTGTTTTCCAGTCTGGTTTTCCCCTGTTAGTGGGCCGAACCGTGGGCACATCAATGAAGTCTGGACAGTTGGAATTTTAAGAAGGCAAAACGCTGCTTTCCATGCAAAGCAAAATTTTCCCCAAAGCACACTAGATGCTACATGTTCGCTTAATAATGTATTGATTAAAGATGACTCGTTTATCAATAACAAAACGCCTAATCATGTACTGATTGGAATAAGCATAACGCCTAACAATGTATTGATTTAGGATAAAGTATTTATCCATAACAAAACCTCTAATAATGTCATGATTGGAATAAAAAATATTAATATATCCATAGCAAAACTTCTAACAATTTACTGATTTGGGGTGAAGCATTTAATTATCCAAACCAAAACGCTTTATAATGTATTGATTTGACATGAAGCATTTATCCATAACTAAACATCTAATAATGTACTGACTTACGATGAATCACTTATCCATAACAAAGCTCTAATTATGTACTGATTTATATTACTTGTATTAAACTGTAATATATGCATCTTATTGGGGCACATTTCCTTTAAATAATACAAATCTATATTTATTATAAATTTATGTCAGTGTTGGGTCCATTAAACTGTATCCTCTAATTGGCGCCTGTGCCGGAAGTGATGACATACGGTATAAAAGGTCATTGTTGTAAATACTGCAATGCCAATAATACTTGATAACTGAAAAGACAATAATAACATTTTGATGTCACTGTCTTTAAAACAAAAATAACTTTATACCGATCCGGATTATTTGTACATCATCATCATTCAAATATTAATACTGTAAATAAAAAGCAAATTTTTCTTTTACCTTCATCCAAATATGATATCTGGTCCACAGGTCCATAAATTGTATTCGGAATAAAGCTATTGTACAGGGTAAATAGGCTTCTGTCTTTCTCGATTCTTTACACCTGTTTGGATAAAATGTTTGGACAAAATTTAATGAAATAGAATTTATCGTCCTATTTTTCAGAAGACGGACATATGCCGTATAATGTGCTATGAGGAAAATTTTGCCCTGCCATTGGTAGCTGTTTTCATCCCTTTCGAATGCCTTGACGGGTTTCCAGGTCATTCGGTACTAACATATGGTTCAGTTTTATTCAAAGAAACCGGTGAAAACACAAGCTGGGAATAGAAACCACGACACCTGACTCAATGGCAAACCCTATAATCGAAAGCACAATAACACATATCCGTTTAATTCTGTGGACAATACATATCCGTTTAATTCAGTGTCTTCCTATTATTCGAGCGTTTCCTTTCTAAAATAAAACAACACCCTATAAATTCACAGGAAATGTATATAAAAGAGTTAAAAACGGAAGTACCTTAGTAGCTGATAATTCTAATAGCCCTTAGCATTACAGTTATTACTGTATATATAGTATGTAAAATTTAGATGAAGATATTGAAAAATTACTTTATTCTGAGCGACGTTATGATTGTCTCGATTTTTAAGTACCATTGTCACAAGTAATAAACAAAGTCTTGATTTGAAGTCCTTCAATCGGAATTCTTCTTGAGAGGCGTACATATTAACTTTTAACGAAGATATAGCGGCACTGTCTAATCCGCTCAATATCTAAGTCACCCGATGGTCTAGAGGGAGCTAACAATTTTATCTCAATAATTCATTTGCACATGGGAGTCTTTAAAATTGGGAGGTAAGTGGAAAACCCAGTGAAACCCCACAAGGTTGGGATCTAAACCACGCACTTCCTCCCAAAGGCGATAAAAAAACTGATTACCGTGAGTATAAATGTGTTAATAAAGTCATATTATCAATTCTGTGTTGGGTACCAACTCTAGCCAACGTCCAAGTATTATCAGGTATAGTCACACCTTCTTCTACCATCATGGCTATATTGAATAATGCCTGAAAAATAATAAACATCACTATAGAGACCATGATGCTACATCACATTTTAGTAGTTCGCAGTAGCGTGCAGGAAAGGGTGGGGGGGGGGGGCGAAGGCCCCGGGTATATAAGTCAGGGTGTTATCCCATTAAAGAGGGAAATCTAAATAAGTATTTTTTTTAAAATTTAAAATATGTTTGATTTATATTTAATCTGAATAAAAGTTTTTTTCAGCTGTTTTTACATCAATCTGATTAAAATACAGATCTATATTTCGTTTCGTTTTTTTTTTACTTTCGATGGCCTACACTACATGAAGATCTGACCAGTTACAGTGGGAGGTCGCGTCAGGGGTCATTCGAGCGGATGTGACCTATGACGTCAGACATTTGATTAACCAATCAGCGTTGATGTTTCTAGTGGGATATACACAGTTCCGTGCAATCGCACGCCAAGAACTGGCTGCAACAGACCGTTTCATTGGCTAAATCCCTCACATCAACCAGAACGCGGGTTATATAACAACTCTGGTGTAGTAAAGACAAGTGAAACGAAATTTTGAACTATAAAAAAACGAAATGAAATAGGATCTGTTTTAATCAGAATGTTTTTACATATATAAAATGTATTCTTTTCATACATTTCTCAGTACCATGCCCCGTACCATGCGTCTTCAAGGCATACAATCAAGGAGTTGGTCCCGCCCGGGCATTACCAAACCTCTGAACATCACAGGCAGTAAACATTATTCGTGTACATTTATCTTCCCATAACTTACATGTGGATCACCTTTATTAGCAGCTAGACCATAATATTTAGCTGCTTTCTCTATATTTCTATCAGCTTGACAACCATACCAATGATAATCACCCATCTTAATCAGGGCTTAAAAATTTAAAAAAATATCTAAAACCAATTCGGAGCAATGTTATCCGGATATTTTGCTTTCAGCATTGTGAAACAGTTTTAAACGAAATGTGGACGCGCAGATCACATATAACAGAACATATTGTATGTTAGGCCAAATAATATTCCGTTCGTAAAATATGCGAGATCGAGAACTATCGGGACCTGGTCAAGATCTAGTATTACTTTTTTTATACAAAACTCGATGTTCCCCAACATCTTAACATGTGCAAAAAGGATAACTTGGCGGTTGAAAATTGTACACCCCACCAAACGATGAACAACCCTATGTTAATACTAAAGTGGTTTAGATTAAAACCTATCCGATTCTTTATTTACTATACTTACAGTATGAGCTGACAAATTGTATTTCTCGTTGTATCGTCATATTGTAATTTCTCCATTGACATTCTTTCTCTATTAAATGGACCATTCCTTCCTTTAATATAAATAAACATATAATCAGCGTATCTACCGCCATCATACTATTAATCATCATAATAGACAGCAGGGTCGTTGACACCGGCGCTCCTCGGGACCAAAAACCAACTCGCTGGGATTGGTCAGATCTGTGCAAGCGGAATTCCGATTACGGATATCTATTGTTTCTCCCCCTAACACATCTATTCTTATTAGTGGTATTGTTTAGTCCTTTACAACCAATAAAATACTACATGTAATCATGTAATTTCAGTAAAGTATAAATTGAACAACAGTAAAGTATATTTATATAATTGAACAACAGTAAAGTATTTGTATAGGAACTGAACAACAGTAAAGTATATTTATATAAATTGAACAACAGTAAAGTATATTTATATAAATTGAACAACAGTAAAGTATATTTATATAAATTAAACAACAGTAAAGTACATCTATATAAATTGAACAACAGTAAAGTACATCTATATAAATTGAACAACAGTAAAGTACATCTATATAAATTTTACGACAGTAAAGTAGTTTAGTAATTGATGATGGTATAGCCATATTATTTGATGTTGATTCCAACGGAAGTTTTTCTTAAGTCAAAAGTCCTTTGTTTTGTACAAAAAATAAAAATATCGTGTTACCTTGTTTTCTTCACATAAATAGGCGAGGTTAAAACTTGCTACTTCAGTGCCAGTATCTGCCGCCATCATGTAATAGAACAACGCTTGTGGCCTATAATATAGAATTATTCTTTGTCCAAGCCAGCTTATTTTCAACAAAACATTTCTCTTGTGTTCTTAAGTTTTTTTCTATCAAAAACTGCATTTAGTTTCACTTCCCATCCCACATTATAAGAGATCACTGAAGTACAGCACCCATAGAACAAGTTATAACTTACAAGAAGTAAATAAAATAGTGTTTAGCTCCCTACTAGTCTGCACCGATTGATCAATGAAGACGGAACAACATGAAGACTCTGTAATCAACCCATAGACTCTGTATACAGAAAATTAAGTTAAATGTGGGGTTTTTTGGGGAAATTGGTAAATCTGCTTAGTTGGCGTATATCACAGCTATAATATTTTGTACAAAGTTTCAGAAAGATGTGCGACGGAAACAAAATTGGGACATAAGGACAGAGTGTGCTCATTTCAGAATCTCTCCGTAACTTCGACCAGTACAGACATCAAATGAGTAGTTTAAGATCGTGATTAATTTGTCCTATGATGACAAAATGAGTGGTTACAGGAATTAACGAAAGGTATGTTATGAAACAGGTATGAAGATCTGATTATTTTTTCAGTGATAACGAGAGAGAGAGAGGGGGGGGGGGCTTAACGTCCACTTGACACAAACTAGGTCATTTCGAGACTAACACATGGTTCAATTTTATTTTAATAATTCGCTTGCGCGTTGGGGTCTTTAGCAGTGGGAGGAAACCGGAGGACCCGGAGAAAACCCATGAGGTTGGACAGGCGACCCTACTCCTTGTCACGTACACGCGAAAAATCGAAACCACGCCATTTGACTCAATGACACACTTTATGATACAGCGCGCATGTGCTAACTATTCGCCCCCCCCCCCCCCCGCAAATAGCTGACTAAAATATGGTTTGTGGTTAATATTCAACAATCTCCAGCTAAACAATAATTCGTACTTACATGTTCATTTGTCTATAGAAATGTAGTGCTTTATGTAGTATATGCCCAAGACCTGGATTCTTTTCAGCAATATGTCTGGCCCACCTTAAATGTTTTCATAAAAATATCAAGAAAAAAGACTTATACAATTTCATTTTGCTTTATCAATAACTCCTTACAACTGTAAGTTGTTTTATTATGGTTTGTAAAATTGTCCCGTGTTGACGATAAGTAAAGTCGGGGGGGGGGGGGGGGGGAGACTATGGGTTTGGGACATGTCGCTTTAATCCCATGGCTTGTTTTACTTAGGAGTCATGGTGGCTCAGTCTTGTCACTCCCGGTATTGACTGAGAAAGTTCCTCGGGATTTATTGGCGTGTTTTTTCTTTTCAGTGATGCATAGGCATGGCAAGGAAAGGTATCTAGTTCTACGGATGGTACGAAAATCAAAGGTCCCGTGTACACATTGGGATGCACGTAAAGAAACCTTGACAGTTTGAATTCTAAAAAAGTAGGCTTGAGCATATGTGCCTGGGCAAAATTCCCCTCATAGCACGCTGCATATCGTATGCGCGCTTCATTCTATAGGTGTTTACAAGACCGATTATACATTGAATTTCATTTCGTTAATAATCTTTCAGGAGTGTTTTCATATTTTGAAGAATGAATTGTTTGTATTAAGTGATAAAGTAATCTTTGAACTTGTAATAAAAGACATGGCAATCAGGTCTGAAGTCAAGTATACTTACTCGGTAGCAATATGTACGTTCCTTTTGTTGATAGCTGTACCCTTCATACTAATTAAAGCAAATTGAACACCGGCATCTATATGACCCCTTTTAGCTGCCCCAATAAAAAATATTTTAGCCAGGTCCTAGAATAAAAAAAAAGTGGTTTCTTTGGAGGAATAACAGTTGTAAAACCTGCATTTCATTTTAAATGATTTTGATCAATTTAGTTCGGCTGGCATAATTAAATGTGGAAAGTGTCTTAATATAGATTATCTTCATTAGAAAGTTAATTTTCGTTTCAATAAGCTAACAGGTTGTGTGAATGATTGTTTGACAACTTTGCCAGAATCTTCAAAATGTACGTGAAGGTATTAACATGGTTGGACCCTTAAATATAATTTTGTATTTATTTCTGAAAATATTTATAAAGACTCAATTTCTAAATGGGCGATCAGTAAATGAACTATGTTAACTATTTCAGAACCTCCAGTTTGCCGTTGATGTCTTCGCGCGCATTTTCACACGTCGACAGGTAACGTATCGCTCTCCATTCGCCGGCTTATAAGTGTACTTACTTCATATGGCGGCTAAATGTCTTCTTTTTAATAATCTTGGCCTAGAATATCTTTGATATACTTACCATATCGACAGGTTTATTTGGTATTAATCCGTGCATAAGCATTATACCTAAATAGTAACCACCATCCATACTACCTCGCTTATGAGCCTGATCAAATAATGTCGCTGCTTTTGTATAATTTCTTTCTCTCATCGCAATCCAACCCAATGCACTCATCGCATTAGGATTTAGCTGCAAAAGTAACACAGGTGAGATTTAAGGGTATACACTTACGGCAAAATACACACAATCTTATAATTATATTTGAATGAATGAAAGAATGAATCGTAAAATTTTAAAATATGTTATTTTATTTTACCTTTTCAGCGGCTTGTTCCATCATTTTCTTTCCCTCTGTTTGATTCTTATTTGAACCAGATCCCTTGAAACAGAATTACAAATATTTGTCGGAATTCAGAAACCAAGAATAAATATTATTTGGCGTCCAGTTGGCAAGCCTAACAAAGTTTGAAAGTAATATCTAGCTTAATAAAGAAATTCCCTTCTCACGCTCGTATTAGTTTGTAAGCCCACATCCACTAACCGAATTACGAATGTCGCCGTTCACATCTTAGGATAGACAGATATATATGGATGTAAATGAAAGTGTACTGTGACCCAAAAACAGAGCCCTTAGGAACTCCAAAAGTAATATCTTTTGTGGATAAGCTTAACCTAAATGAGACTGACTCCAATTCCGTATAGATCCACCAATCCCCATAGTAGAACTATGGCGTCAAATGCTGTGCTTAGCTCTAGTTCATGTTGCTGATTTGCTGATTGGTATCTATTGCGAAACAGAACATTTCTAAACAAATGCGGTGGTAATTGATTAATTTGAGTAATTTAAGAATAAATCGCATTTCTGAACAATTTAATCTTAGTGTCAACAAATAAATAAATCTCCCTTTTTGGTAACATTACCATGCCTTATTCAACTTTGAATACTTCACATGGTTCCTTCGCCTGAGGTTGGTGATTATAGATTGGAGATTTAGCTTTGATAATAAGGTTTACAACATAATGCGATTAAAATAGCCCCATTACCTTATATAGCAATATACCGTAATCATACATATCGTTTGGGTTTTTTGTGGCAGCACCTTCACGGAAGTAACTCATAGCAGCATCTATGTTCCTCTTTAGACCTTGTGATCCCCAGAATAAAGATCGTGCAACATGGCGCTAAAATATAATAATAATATTCTAGTATACCCAAAGAAAAAAAGGTTACCATCCCCACCCCCGGTATTTTTCACAATGACTTACATGGTTTAGCGTTGAAAACCCTGATGATAACCACTGAATAACAAGTTTTGTTTGCAAGAATACGTCATCTTTGACAATTAAATAAAATTACACAAAGAGTTTATCCTGTTTTGAGATTTTAATCATGATTCTGTATTCGAGGCCCAAAAATGAGTCACAATAAGAACGACATACTTTCCACGTTTCCTACCTAGCTTAGCCCCAGTCAATCGGATTAAAATACACAATTACATTTCGTTTCGTTTTTTATACTTTCGATGCTCCCCACAAGTAAAACGAATGTTTGAACTAAACGAAATAGGATAATCCGACTGAAGCCCAGTCGGCTTTATAGTTAATATTTTATTTGTATTTTGGGTGTGAATGAAGGTGTGGCTGTCCACTATAAGTGAGATGTCAGCGGTTAAATAACAATATGAAGACATAGACTAGCTAGCAAGTCACTCTTGGTCCACAAGTAGAAAACATGTGTAAATCGCCACATTTTGGTAACGAGAAGATTTTCGACACATTTGTTTGTAAAATTTAATGAATATTCATATGTACACGACTAGAAAGTAGCATAGTGTTTCTTAATATAAACATTGAACGAGCTCTTAAATGTTACGTTATCAGGAGACAATTGTATCAAACTGCCAGATTGCTCTTCAGATAGTTCAGTACTTCGCAGAAGCTCACATTAGAGATACTGTCAGTTTTTGTACAGTTGTAAGAACAAAGAGAATATTTTAAAAACGGTCAACCTGGGCTGAAAGTACTCCCGATTGGGCTTGATGTTTTAACCACAGAAAAACATCCCCTTCTTCATCTGTCTGTTTCTGTAATGTGGCTTCATCCGTTAATCTGACAAACTCCGTCAACACCTAAACAATTGGTGAATCTTAATTAGATCAGTAATAATAGTAATATACACTTGCAGAGTGCTAAATCCATTCAAAACCATGCACAAAGAGCCATGAGGACATATTTATATATGAATAATGTTTATTTTAATAAAATTAATTTTACATGTGTATGGTCTTAAGCTCAATATGTAACCTTTATTCGGGCGTGTTGAGGCTTTAATGGGAAAATAAAGATTTGTATAGATCTAGATACCTACATTTGTACTTTTATGTTCTTCAATATCATCTCTCGTTTTATCAGCAACAAATTTATAATACACTGGAATAAAGATGACAAACTATTATAATCAATATTGAATTTATGTAGATGTCATACCTTAGTAACCCTTCAACATTCATGGCTAAATACATTTTAGTAAATTTGAGATGGGCGTGCGGTGCAAGTGGTCTAACACGTCCGCTTTAGATTATAAGCTACGTGTTGGGATTCCGATGCTAGGGTTGTATCCTTGTGTATAATCAACGGTAAAATCATGTTAGCAACACATCATCAACGGAAATCAGATGTTAGTAACTCACGTACATATATACCTTAGTATCGGTGACCAGATGGTAGTAATTCACGTACCTATATACGCAACGGTGGTCAGATGATAGCAACTCACGTTCATGTATGTACAACGGTGATCAGATGATAGTAAAACACGTACATATATGAACTCACGTTAGCAAGCCACGTTCTATCAATGATGAACTCATGTTAGCCACTCCTGCATCAACTGTGATTAGATGATAGCAACTGACAAATATTCAACTGTGAATAGAGAGAGAGACTAACATATGGTTCCATTTTATTTCAACACTTCGCTTGTGCGTAGGGGTCTTTAGCTGTAGGGGGGAACCGGAGGACCCGGAGAAAACCCACGAGACTGGACAGAAAACCCTAGTCCTTGTCACGTACAACCGGGGAATCGTCAACTTTTCGTATTTGGTGCAATCAACTGTAACTAACTCTATGTATCGCCTCTTTTATCAAAGAAAATGAAATGAAATGGGCTAATTAAGACGAGCATACGCCATACTGCGTGCTATAAGGGAAATTTTGCCCGGACAACGGCAGTACGGCCTATTCTTATATCGAATTCCAACTGTCAAGGGATCTTTTACGTGCACGCCAACGTTTACACGGGACGTCGGTTTTTCGTCCCATCCGAACGACTAGACAGCTGTCCTTGTCAGGCCCTCCGTCCTGCATCACTGGCAAGGGGGAACCACGTCGGAAACTCTGGATGAACTTTCTCGGCCAACGCAGGTGTCGAACACCCGACCTCCAAGCTAGCGAGCCAGCGTCTTACCCTCTTAGCCACCGTGACCCCCACCTCTCTTATCCTAAAGTGAGTGAGTTAGACACTATCTAGCAAAATTTTACAATTAAATACATGAAATATTACAATTAAATACATGACTTACTATATGCCTGTGGCTTGTCAAATGGAACTCCATCAATACCAAACATATGTTTATGTGCCAGAGCGAGTGATGCTAGAATGTTACCTTCCATAGATGCCATCATTAGATACGCCTGTCCCTAGTCAAAATAAAATTGACATTAAGTTTTACTTTATGATCGAGTTTGTTCAGCATATTAGTATTATTCTGGAGTAATGTTACCATGACTATGGATTTGTGTTATGGAAACACCCATTGTCGAATGGGCCAGTGAACATAGGAGCACGAGAGTGAGCGAGGGAGAGAAATGGAATTTAGCATCCACTCGATACATACTAGGTCATTTCGGGACTAACATATGGTTTAATATTACTTCAATTATTCGCTTGCGCGTAGGAGTCATTAGCGGTGTGTAGGGGGGGGGGGGAGAAAACCCACGAGGTTGGACAAGCGATCCTTCGGTCGGTCCTGGCGTTAAACGTCCACTTCCACCAAGGGTGATATCGTAGACAATAGCGATCCTTGTCACGTATCAGCGGATAATCGAAGCCACGCCACTTGACTCAGTGACATTAATGGAGCTGAACACGTTTAGCTATTGATTTTACTGCTCACATTTTTGTTGGGCGAGGAAATGGTCATCAAGCAATTCTTATCTTGTTTTCGTCTTGGGGCGACGTTCTTAGATCAGTTCAAATACGCCATGACACTTGGCATGCGTGTTCTTTGGACAATTGTACATCGAATGACAGACTTACAAGATGGCGGCGATGACGTACTGCTCGGTTCCTCGTCCATAGTACGATCGCACGTGTACTTGTTCAAACAGGACCAAACGATTACGATGTCTCATTATTATTATTACTAATCATTGATTAAATCGACAAGGACACCATTCTTAAATATTACAGAATGGACGCTAGATTTCTGAATGTTTTTATAAATTTCAGTAAACATCATACCTGTATTTCATCAGATTTAACATAAACACCATTATTTAATATAACGGCTAACATAAACATGGCGTCAGTGTTACCCAAACATGACGACTGTTTTAAAAGGGGTACAACTCTAGGTATCTTTGTTAAACCAACTTCCTTGAAACAAAAACAGATTTCAGGATTCAACCGAATAAATATAAAATAATACAATCAATGTCGTCAAGCTTAAAGTCATTGAAGACTAGGCTTTGTCTAAAAATATTTATCTCGAGGTGTTTTAAAGAGTTTAGTATTTTGTTTGCACGTTTTGACATTAGATTCCGTGTCTTGTATCTCGATATAATATTGACTGGAGTCCGATTAGAGATTTGTTTCCCACAGGAACCCCATTAAAATTTGCCATTGGGATTTGTCACCTCGATATCCCGTTAGGATTTGTCACCTAATCACCCTCAAAACTCTATCACAATATTATAATTGGTCACTTCGAAACAACATTCAAATCTATTACATATTAAGTTTGTCTAGAATTTTGAAATATCATCATTTTGAATAGTTGGGTTAAGGGGTTGTAACTCTTCCTATAAGCTAGAATTTATGACATACACACATATACATTTGTAACAACAATGTGCTGCCGTACTTCTCCAAGTAATTATTATTTCATATTATTATATAACTTTACTTACAATCAAACTTGTAGCGTTATTATATAGTTGGTCTGCTACTTCGGTCATATTTTTATGTGAAACTGTTTTTCCTTTTAAAGCGGATCTTTTAATAAAGGAATTAACTATTCTATAGTATCTAGGCCTGGGACTTCTTTCAACAGAACATTGTTTTACACGCGATGATTTATGAATAGATTTCAATAATTCGTTAAAATAACTCTGACAGACGTCTGTAAAAAAAGCAAAGTGGCAGAATTAATAATAAATATTTGAAAATTCAAATAATAAATAATCGATAAATCAAATAATAAATAGTCGATCAATCAAATAATCATTGAATCAAATAGATAGTCGATCAATCAAATAATAAATAATCCTTAAATCTAATCAAATATTAAACCAATGTCAATCACGGTTCCTGGCATTAGACATCTTAAACATACATTATGCAAGAGCTGAATCGGCCTACTACGGGACTTTCTATGGGCCAGAAATGTTATCTAAATTATTAATTAGACATTAATTAACTTATCCAGACCATAATCAACTCTCGATGCCATCGCTAGTCTGCGTTATATAATGCGGAATCGAATACATTTTGTGAAGGATAATTAAACGTAAAAATAGAGACTTTGTTTTTTATCACACCGACTTTAGTAATTATGATCGGGGCTGGTCTAAAATTCAAAAGCTAATATCTCGGTTCAGAGTGGAGCATATTCTAATTACGTTATCCACTTTTTTAAAACTATTATAGCGAGACTTGTCAACTCTTTATCTAATCTCCCATAATGCCCCTTTAATCATATGCTCAGGAATTTTTAACAGCAAGTCGGTGATGCATGTCAAGTATCTTTATTTAACGTCCGGTACCACAATTTCCTCTAGGAAATTGTTGGCTAGACACTCTGTCATCATGCCGTAATAAAACTAAGCTCAGTCCAGCGACGCCTACGTACGCGACGCGAAAATCAGCCAAAACTCTAAAACTACATTGATTCAACGTATCACGTACACGATACGGATACGTGGTACGGATGGGAAAAATTCCGCATGTCAAAAGTCTCTATTATCTAAATCTTACGTAACGCATGTTTAACCAATTCACTTTACCAATCATTTGCTAGCAACGTGGTAAGTGGTTTATCGGACATTTAGGGTTTCCTCCCACAGCTAAGACCTCTACGCTTAAGCGAATTATTGAAATAAAATATCGAACCCTATGTTAGTCCCCAAATGACATAGTTCGTGTTGAGTGGACGTTAAACCCCATTTCTCTGTCTTGTACAATTAAATTACCTTTTGAAGATACTGATTTAGTTAACCGTTTATAAACCTCTACTCTTTTATCAATCCAATTGATGAATTTAGCACACTTTTCCTCTCGATGAGTTAAACCCAATTCAAACATAGGATGATAAGGACTGGGATACGGTATCTGCAAAATAGAATATATATTATGAAATAATACAGTCAACTACAGTTTCAATAGTTACGGATGATTCATACGTTTTAGTACTGTGATATGACAGTTTTGTTAAACCAGGGCTGGTTTTAAACCAGTTGGGCCCAATGCTCCAGCCGTTGACTGTGAACCCACCAAAATGTTCCAAATTAGGCCCCGCGACGCCTAAGGCCAGTTCGTTAGGGTCAAACAAATCATACTGACGTCAAAAAGAAAGTTTAATAAGAAGAACTTACTCATACCCAGTTAAATACACCGCCTAAATATATCCAATGTCCCGATAACTTCAAGAATTCCAGTTAAAGTTTCCATCGTGTATTTTTATCATTTTTCTAAGCGACACGTTCCCACAGGGTATTTATCGGGTAGTTATTTCCAATAAAAGTATTCCAGTGGTGTTATATGGAAAGTCGAGACACCAAATCTTAATGGAAAAATACTGGATTCCATGATGAACAGGGCAAAAATATAAGGGTTAAATAGTTTTGAGATGGATTTGAAGCAAAATTTTGATAGATCAGTGAGTTTCTTTACTTTTCTTTTAAAGAATATTTTTATTCAGGATATCTGAATGGTGTTGTGGAACAAGCTTAGCCTGTGCCCCCCTCCCTTCCTGAATCAATTAGTTTATGAATATGTTTTAGCCGAAATATATCATCAAATCACATCGTTTGTACACCTGCAAATATCTGTAACGCCCGCTTCCACGGTAGTGAAATCGCAGATATTTTTGATCATGAGACATGTTTTGTTTTTTATTCAAAATCCTGGGATAGTTTCGTTAGTTTTGGTAAATGTATTGAAGCAGACGAATAATGGGGGGTCGTTCTTACGTTTTCTAGTTCTACTGAGAAACATTCTCTTCTGTTAAAAAGAACGTATAACAATTTGTCGATAACTGAAATATCAACCAAAATTCAACCTGCGAACAGTTTTACCGCCAGCTCCAGGCTGATTTTAACCGCCAGTTGCAAGGATTCGCTTCGCATACCCGTTCCAAACCCAATCCATATCACAGCAAATGCCCGTAGGTTCTTGTTTGTCCTCAACAAATTGTTTGTCCCTGGGGCGGTAGTTTTTATTAAATAAACTCAGGCCCGTAACTAAGGGGGGGCGGGTTTCGCCCCCCCCCCCCCCCCTGTGAAAAAATTGTCGACCACAGATATACATTGTCTGTCAATATTACAGCATCCCTGAGAACACTTCCCGACCCCTCGTTGCTCTGAGCTAGTTACGGCCCTGATTAAACTTCGTCACCTACCTGAGTAGGTAACATATATTTTCTTCTGTAATATTTAGTTTCACCAATATAACCTAATATGGTAGGCATACTATTCTCATTACCACCAAACACAAAATATCCTGTTGTATCATCCATAAATAACTCTTTATCATATCTGAAAACATACATCATGAAAGTTTGCTCGCTTATACCCCAATCAACATATTCTGCTGTGTAGATTGCTACGATATAAACTGGTCGACGGACAGGCATGAATGATGTCAATATACCTCCAGTCCAGTGTGTGTATTAAATTCATATATTAATATCTGACATTTTTCCAGCAGAATTATAATTAATAATTGGCATTGGCCCATTTTACTAAGCATATCCCGGTCCAAGACTAATAACATACAAGCACTTGTTTAATTTTATTTTCTAATTAGGGTAGGATAGGGGTGTATCATATCTTACGTGTAATACGTCTGGAAAGTCTCGTTCCTGTTTTTACCATGGTTGACCGTCAGCAGCCACTTTAACAGAACAAAACAAAACAAAAATACAATATATAATTTCAATTGTGGGTTTTGGATGATGTTGAGTATTATAGCGGTATCCCTCGTGTGTTGCACTTACGTAATGAAGACACTCGTTTGATTTATAAATGAGGGGGGACAACTCTCTTCAAAAACCAAATAATTCAGGGGGATGGAGGCTTGGCTCGTTTTTTGCCTCATTTATCTAAACTGAATGGTATAAATTGGCTTAGTGAGTAAGACGTTGTCTGACTAACCTGGAGGTCTCGTGTTCGATTCCTGTGTTGACCTAGAAAGTTCATTGGGATATTCCGGCGTGGTTTCCCCTTGCCAGTGGTGCAGTACAGGGGTCCTGGCAAGGGACAACGTATAGTAGTCGGGAGGTAAAACAGGTCCCGTGTTCACATTGATGTGCACGTTGAAGAACCCTTGACAGTTGGAATTCGAAATAAGAGTCGGTCATAGTTCCGCTGTCCGGGCAAATTTTCCCTCATAGCACACTTCATTGTGTATATGCCCGTCGTCATTAGCCCAGTCGGTGCACAACAGTAGGACATTAAAACGCCATTTCTATAACTTTCATTTCATTTTGTTATTTTAACTGTTCTGACATTGGGATATCTCGAAACATTGTAGATCATGACTTATACCGGAATGTTACAACGTTTGGGAAATATTCGCTATTACTGGAAGTTATGGGGGAATGTGGATTGAAGCATTAAGAAGTTTATATGTTTACAGAAATAGGTATAAGAATTCTACCGATTCAGCCGATTTGCATGATAATTTCTTACCGTTTTATACATGAAGCTAAGGGTTAATCTAAACCATTGATGTCTAGGCAGAATAAAGTGGGGCTTCATGGCCGAAGTAGATCCATCTTTAAACCATACTTCTATCTGGAAGCTCCCTGAAGGAAATTGAACACAAAAGAATGTTAATGCAGCACATATAACTGTTAGCTATGTGAAAGTCACACATAAACGGGAAGTGGCATCCGATGTTCTAAGATACAGGTGACAGTGCCCCCCACCCCCAACCTACACACACACACATCAACGCGCCCCAAATTCTGTTCGTTTCAGTAAACCCGTTCATTTTAACTATTCTAGCATTTAGGAAACTTTCAAATTATATGACCCATGTAACCCTGTTAGTAATTATGACCCCTTATAAACTTATAACGGTATGTTCTATGCCCGAAATAACTTGTGGTATGAAAGTCGGGGCGGCTATAGATATATACAGGGGAATTTGGGGTTATTCTTCTGAAAGTTATTCTTTAAACCTGTAAAAGGTTATTCTTCCAGGGTAGGTTTTTTTCCATAAGAAAACATGATATTTATAAGGGTTTTTTTCTTACGGGAATTCTGGGATATTGTCATTTTCATTTTGTGTACATATAAACATAGACGATTTATAAGCAAGATAAAGTCCTCGACTTCGGTTATGCTGGAGAAGAAAGATTTCGGGACAAACCTTCGACAGAAAAACATCAGCCTACCGGCCGCGGTTTTTCTTTTTTCGGGTTACTTTCTTCAGTCTTTCTTTCTCCAGCACAACCTCGGTCTCGTGACTTTATCCTACAGTGAGAACATACATCTCTAGAAAGTCGAACTCATAATATGTGCTTTAAAATCGATATACAAACCGTCGGGTGTAAGTATAATACAGGGTGTTTTCGATCTCTTCCAATCAGAATGCATAACAAGAGAACAGAATCGTCTACCATTGGGACCTTTATTCGGACAGTACTCTAATATATACACCCACATTGATATAGTAAAACTTAAAAATAAAAGGAATATATTATATTAACTCTTGTATATATACACACGGTCACATGGGTATAGTAAAACTAGGTACTCCAATATATACACCCACATGGATATAGTAAAACTTAAAAATGAAAGGAATATATTAGCTCTTATATATACACACATGGATATAGTAAAACACTATATCAATGTGTATATATAAGAGTAAAGTTTGTTATAAGTTTTACTATATCAATGTGTGTATATACAAGAGTAAAGTTTGTTAAAATTTAAAAAATAAAAGGACTATGAACAGGACAAACAAAATTGTAAGAAACAAGCTGTTTAAAAAGCTAGGGTCAGTATATCATTCATGGAATTGAAACACTCAACGATATGTGCCAATGTTGTCAAGTGAACACGAGATCGCGCCATTGTGTTAATTCACGAGACCGGACGGTCGTGTCCAGAAGCCAGGGTTCATTGGACTTGAAGTCGACCAAGGCCTAGGTTGCAACACGTGACAACGCCTAGACCATATCGGGCAACATTTCAGCGGCGTCCTCAGTATAAGCACATTCTAAGGAAAATTTAGTTCATAACTTACGTTGGGTTATGGAATTTTTTCAGTCTTTCACTCTCTAAAACTGGTGATTTGTACGGCTCAAAACTACGGTATATACCATAGGCTCGACCATTTAAAGCGGTAGGATATGATACCACCTTTACTACCTCTGAAATTGGGTAAATATAATTATGAAATTTGTATAAAGCAAAAGAATGGCATTACGAAATGCTGAGTGTATGTTTGTGTTTTCCTGAGTATGATTTCCTGTCCGTGTATTTGTTTTTGTGTAAATTTTGTGTGGTGCAGTCCCCCTGCACTTACTATTAAATTACAGACTGCGTAACTAAATGGTGACCATGTCCATAGTATCTTATGGTTCGGGAACAAAATATGCTGATGGGAGTGGGGCTGAAGATAGGGACACCTTCTCACTCTCGTGCAGCCCAAAGGATAGACAATGGAAATAAGACAACTTGTCTGCGATATCACCCTCAGTGGAAGTGGACGTTAAACACTAATCGAAGAAGAGGTATGCTGAAACAAAAGCATCACTAAATTTACCTTCTTCTTTTTCACAAGACAGTTTATTGACATAATCTGGAATTCTGTTTAACATACGCCAGTACCATATGGGACATGCCTTCCATGGTTTTATCATACGTCTGGAATACGGTTCATGAATTCTGACGTCATAAGACGCTTTTGTTGATGCCATAACATACACGTTTTGTTTATCTTTAGATTTTTCAAATTGTGTTTTATTTATGATCCACGCTCGTAATTTAGACGTAAACACTCTGTAATAGACTTTGTTGGATATACTAGGCCTGAATGAAATGGCGTCTGGGATCTTTATTCGAATCTTTTTCTTTTTGTTTAATCCATAGTTTTGTGAGCACTTCCAATATCTATGTGGTGTTTGGATTGTGCTGTTGATTTCATTCAAATGGATAACCACTTCCACGCCCACTACGCTGTTTTCAGGACATCTATATTCTAACGTTAATACACTTAAGCTGTCTATATAGGTTGGTGGTTTCATAATCTGAATATATTCCTGTTCTAAAGAGTCCGTTTTATCAATAACCACCGAGATTGTTTCCGGGTCCTTAGAAAATACCTTGTTCAAAAATACAAAAATACTTTAATTAATTTAAATTGTTTCAATAGCATTTAGTGATTAAACCGGAAATAAACCGGCCATAACTCTATGGAGTACAATAAGTGGATGAAATGGGGTTTAACGTTCCACTTTTCTGCACCGACCGGAAGAATGAAGACGGACATACGTCATACATTGTGATACGAGGAATTTGTGGCCGGATATCAATTGAATTTCAACTATCAAGTGTTCGTTTACGTATACGCTAACGTGTACATAGGAGCTCGGTTTGTCGTCCCATCCTATTATACTACAACAGCTAGTCGTAAATTCATTCGATGGCATAGATAGGAAAATCAAATGTGCCTGACGTGACAGCCCATCTGCATTGGCCGAGAAAGTTCATGCAGGACGGAGCGCCTGACAAGGACAGCTGTCTAGTTGTTCGGATGAGACGAAAAACCGAGGTCCCGTGTACAAATTGACGTGCACGTAAAAGATCCCTTGGCAGTTGGAATTCGATATAAGAGTAGGCCGTAGCGCCGCTGCCCGGGCAAAATTTCCCCCATAGCACACTGTATGGCGTATGCCCGTCTTCATTAGCCCAGTTTAGGAGCAAAACAGTAGGACGTTAAACCCCATTTCATTTCATTTCAAATGACTATGAAATGTGATTGGTTCTGATGGTACATTATCCAAGAAGGGGGTCACGGTGGCTAAGTGGGTAAGAGTAAGTTGCTGGCTCGCTAGCCTGGAGGTCGGGTGTTCGATCCCTGCATTAGCCGAGAAAGTTCATCCAGATTTTCCGGCGTGGTTTCCCGTTATCAGTGATGCAGGACGGAGGGCCTGACAAGGACAACTGTCTAGTCGTTCGGATGGGACGAAAAACCGATGTCCCGTGTACACATTGGCGTACACATTGTAAAAGATCCCTTGACGGTTGGAATTCGATATAAAAGTAGGCCGTAGTGCCGCTGTCCGGGCAAAATTTCCCTGGCGTATGTCCGTCAACATTAGCCCAGTTCGGGTCAGAACAGTAGGACGTTAAACCCCATTTCATTTTATCCATGAAGGAATTACTCTCGACCCTTTATGATTTATTCATGCATTTAAGAAGTAGGTGATATTTTTGGAATAAGTTAGCCCCCTGGAATTTTGTCACCTTTGTAAAGGTACTTTTTTTTAAAAATTATAAACAATATATAACCAAAATTGAATAATAAAATTGTATAATAAATTGTGAATACCTGTGGTAAAAATATAAATACTAAAATATAAACACATAGTACTTCCATGTTCAATTTAATCGTGTTCGCCATGTTGTCAAAATTCCATCAATAATATATTTTAGTCACATGACATACACCTTTACACCTGGTGCCAGAGAAGAAATAGGACGCCTGCGCACGAACCGTGCAATCTGTTGTCCAAATTTATTCTAAGATATTGATTCACAATTTGTACAAATAGTATGTAGGGAATCTTATATACTAAGTAGAATTTTATAAGTTTCTAAGCAGGGTGTTTCCAATTTATGATCGGGGTATAAAATGAATATATTTGTAAACTTCGTGATCACACTTTGAGACTGGTGTTCTATTTTTGTCTTATATGGCCATGGTGAGAATGATTTTGAAACGGACAGAGAAGTTTCGGACTGTTTCCACTATCAAGGTTTCGTGTTAAATGCATGTCAATGTCCACAGTGATAAGCCTCGGTTTTTGTCCCATCCGAATGACTAGAAAACTCATGGGAGGTTTCCTAGCGCTACCCCTGACCTCTAACGTTGAGATTCGAACAGGGAAAATTCTAATCTCAAGCACATGTCTTTAACACAGTTTCTCCTTGTCAGTGGTGCAGAACGGAGGGCCTGACAAGGACAGCTGTCTAGTCGTTCGGATGTGACGAAAAACCGAGGTCCTGTGTATACATTGGCGTGCACGTAAAAGATCCCTTGGCAGTTGGAATTCGATATAAGAGTAGGCCATAGTGCCTCTGCCCGGGCAAAATGTCCCCCATAAATATAGCCACCTGTATGGCGTATGCCTGTCTTTATTAGCCCAGTCGGAGCAGAACAGTAGGACGCTAAACCCTATTTCATTTCATTTCATTTGTTATTAACACAGCCTCTAAAGCTTGATTAAAGTCTAAATTTCTCGGTTGTCATGTGATAATGTGGAGAGGTAGTATGTGGTGGCTGCTATCAAGTGATTTGTTTATCAGTTTATCTAAGTAAGTACCAGAAACATTCAAAGTGGGACCCTTTGAATATTTACTGACTAGCCTCTTTGGTGGCTGATATAGCAAATCACCGGCCTTCGCTTCCCCTAAACCTGTGTAAACCAGTTCATATTTCTGCAAATAGAGCTCGAAACTTTTTGAAAAATACATGCTCTCTTAAAGCGTCCAAATCTGAGGGTGGCCTTTGGAAATCTAACCGTCAGCCAACCTAGAGCTATCGACTACCGCGTACATGATCGCTGCGGCGTTAGAGCGCTCTCACAATCATTGTAGCGTTCTACGGACCCGGGCTATAGGCCCCATTACCTGCTGGTGACGAGAGTCTCAAGCAGAACGAAGACGGACCGGGGTCCCACGGCTGATAGTTTTTTTCCAAAAAGGTGGACTGACAGAATCCGATTCTAATCTAATCCACGCCACTAGGTACCCACATTCAGAAAAACCACCGGTTTTCTTCTACTTTATGATCAAGTAACGGTGGGGTTTAAATTAAATTTATACTAACAATTGTTTTTAAAAAACATTACTTAATATAACTCCGGGTCCCTCTAGGCTCTGGGCCCCTGGACAAGAATCACAGTCCCCCCTCCCCCGCGTGCCCTGGTCACTGCAACTTTTGCCCTGGGGCGCCACATAGGCTTGTGAGGTCCCTGTGGACTATGTATTTCCTGTTCAACTTTAAAATGCAACTGACACATTTTCACACATACATATATGACAGTTGCGTCATTCAAGGGAGATCCCAAATCTTAAAAGACGCCCTTTGATAAAAGTGAATTTAAGTATGCAAATTAAACGCGACACTATGACGAAATAGCCCACTTATACTTTGCCTCAGTTTTAGATAAGAACATTTAGATGTGACTCATAAAATAATTTTATTATTCAATTGTATTAGTGACTTGATAATCGCGAGTGTCATCTACATCCATAACTTCTTGTCGTCAAAATCACATATAAACATAAAATCTGTATTAGAAAATGCCGCTAAGTAATGGTTTTCCATAAAATGGTGATTTTGGCCTATCTAATAATAACGAGATGGCTATCTTGCAAGATAGCTACATGTAATTACAAGATAGTCAGAATATTTATTTTTCATTTGATTGGCCCTAATGGGCTTCCGTACTATGCGCTCTTATCAATAGTTAGGGCACGGTCGCTTAACAAAGCGTTTCTAGCTATAAAGAGTCTACTGTCAATAATTTTATTATGTTTCATCAAGAAGCGTGAGCTTCAATATGTTTAATATATTCCATCAAGACTCGTGAATGGATAAAATGCGTTTTAACTTTTAGAACGGATGAATGAATGAATGAAATAGAGGTTAACGTCCTACTTTTCTGCTCCAAACGGGATAACACTACGCCGCGTGCCTGGGCGGGAATCGATAACTGTCAAGGGTTCTTGTATGTGCACGCCAAGGTGTACATGAACCGTGTCATGCCCTCTTTCCTGCACCAATATATTTAGAGAATCAGTGATCAGTTCAGCAGTTCGACTCCGAAGGGTATAAGATTGACTGAAAGAGTAGACAGGGCGTGGTGTCACTTGATAATTATAATTTAGTAGATGACGCTATGGGGGCGTGTCTGAGCTTTGAATGTCCGAGATCTACGCCGATTCTGTGATGAAGCAAGTTTCGAAATAAAATGTTTGTTCATTTTTTATAAGCAGCTTCGGTCCTCTTGCAACGAATCTTAATGAGTATATAGATTCCACACTGACCATTTAATGTGTGCTAACACCTAGAGATGGACATATAGATTGCAAGCTCAAGGAGAGGGATGGCGTCTCTACATCGCTCTCGGGCCCATGGAGCCCGGGGGTGGGGGGCATGCATATCCGTCCGTATGGTCAGTACTCATGTCGCAGTGCACCCATTCCGTTCCCGGATACCTTTCTGTGGAGGGGAAGGGGCTCGGTGACAAATTTTCTCTTGCTCCGGCAGATAAAGATTCTATAGACATCCTGAATTCAAACCAATATATGTTTTTTTAAAAAAAGACTATGCCTTGTCAACATAAACTTACACATGTTTGATAAAGTTTTTTGAACAGGATGGCTGTTCGTGTAAAATGGCATTTAAACATATAATGATGCTAATAGAAAATCCATATCTTAAGATTATTATTTAGCCATTTCGTTAAATAGAATTGTTCTGGAATATATAACCCTTTAATTGTCGCAATTTTGACATATATTGCAGAATATAGCTAATTTGGGAATAAAATACCATTTGCAACAACATTACAGCAGATTTTCTTTAAACTGTTCTCATCTATTGATAGAGTATTTTACATTACTAATGAGGAATTGGTAGCAATAAATACTTTCATATCTGATATTTTGATCTAATTTTATTGACGATATTTATGAGATTTTACATCGCATTAAATATTGTATCCGGATGTCCTAGCGTGTGTGCGCATGAACAAATGGTTGCTATATAACATACGCCCATATTTCACATAAGATAGGGCTCATCACCTCATTGTCCCAAAGTTTCACATTTAATATGAAAAAAAAAAAATATGTTAGAAAACTGTCGCCTCTATCGCGTCCACTCATGAAGGAAAGGCCATGGAACGCTGAGTATCGATAATGCTTGTCCCCTCATAACCCCACAAAATTTGAAATAAGTCCGTAACGGAAGGTTCTGGGGCTCTGATTATCAGCAGTGGTCGTTCTTGGATGGACCCAGTGTTTCACACCAAATTTGAAAAAAATATATTGAAAACAATAGCCTTTATCGCGTTAACATAGGCGAAGGTTTTCGGCAAGGGGACTGGGCTGTAAGACAATCACTATAGCAAGTAAAAAGTGAATAATTTTAAAATGAATAAGCACACAAATTATCTAAGCGAACACAATGACATAATACTGACAAGTTTCCTAAATAAACACAAAATAAATACCATGATTAATATGGTTTTCGTGAAGTTATGGCTTATGAGCGAGTCCACATAATATAAGCTGTTGTTTATTAGTTCACTACTTCGTTAGATTTATGTAAGATTTAGATAAAGAGCTGATCATTCTTGCTATAATAGCTCAAAAATAGATAATGTCAAACAAAAATATTAAAAATTTCATTCAAATTACTTTATTCTGAGCCATGTTATCACTGTTTCTAGTTTTGACAAGCTGTGTGTTAGGTGGTAACCATTGGTATATTCGGGACTTAACCTCACTTTCCCATTTTTAAATCAAATTTTTAGATGGCGAACCGTTTTAATCTAGTTAACATCTTGAGTATCCGATGCCATCGAGAGTTGATTATGGTCTTGTTTATAAATGTCTAATTAATAGTTTACATAACATTTCAGGCCTGAAGATATGATATGAAATGGGGTTTAACGTCCTAAGAACTGGGTTAATGAAGACGGTCAAGTCTATAGAAAGACCCGCAAAAAGGCAGATTTAGCTCCTGCATGTTTAAATAGAATTGTGTTATAAAATATAAAACGATGACATTAAAAATTCCACATAATTAGATATAGCATTTCACTATTTCGTTAAATAGAATTGTCCTATATATTATAATGGTGACATTAATACATTCAGGGGCGTGTCTAGGAATATAAGCGGCGGCGGGGGGGGGGGGGGGGCAAGGTGGAGGAAAACTTCAGGTCTGGCGTTACGTCAGGAGGGGCTACACGCGCATTTGATAAAATCGGTAGCTTTGAGACAATATTCTGCTCATTTACGTGTTATTTTCTGGATCCACACGCACCACCCCCACCACCCCCACCCTCACCCCCCCCCCCCCCGTCCACGCGCCGGACATTGGGATTTATTATTTTATTTATTTGGTTGAATGAAATAGCTCTATAATATATAATGATGACATTAGAAAATCTAGGTTATGTAAATGGCCTGGCTTGTGACTATGTAAGTAGTTATATAGATCGGTGTACAAAACATTTATTTTTAGAAGTTGATTCATCACGTCATAAGTTGTTGATTTCACCACCCAAAACTTGTAATGAAAACTGGGTTTAACATTAGTCAAAACCCAATTGAAAACAAGGCAGGTAGGCGAAATAAAATTTATCTCCAGTCACAGAAAATTGAAAACATAGAATTATGAGTTTGAATTCGATGGCATCCGTATCTTATGAGAGTTTAATTACCATGCCTACAAATAAACATTAATATTATTTGTAATTTGCTTCAGATGTATTTATAAGTTTAGCAGTATTATCTAATGACAGCTATTGTGCATTATAACAAACATCTGAAATTTTCTGGGACTTATGCGATAAACTAAATTCAAATCTTGCCATTGATATATGAACACATGGTAGTTAAATACGTGTAGTTCAGTTTATTTTAAAAAAATAATAAAATAATAATTAAAAAAATAGATAAATACGAGGAGAATAAGAGTCAGGCTATCGGTCTGTAATCTCGGGAATGTTTAAAATTCTTTTTATTAGTTTAGTGCCTTTAGATTTCTTTGTCTCTTGTTTAGTTGTTGCCTTGGGTAGAGGCCAATTTATTCCAACAAGAGTAGCAAATACGAATTATCCAAAATTGCCAATATTAAGGTCACCAGTTTGTGGATTAGGCCTACTCGTGAATGATTACGAAATTAGAATGAATAAACTTATACATATTTATGCAATGTTGAATTGCGGGTTATTCGGTGAACACTGGGAACACCCCGATTTACTTTTGCGGCTTTTCGTCATCCTTGGCTTTATTACTATTAATAGTTGCCACGAAACGCATTTCTCCTTGTCTGTCAAGTTGTCACGAGGTTGGAAATCCCCACGATTGGCTCATTCTTGCTTTATCATTGGTTAATACGACCACGTGGTTCAGGGTGCTTTCCCAAAGTGAAATATGGGACTTTCCAGAAACAAAATGTCGTGGTTTTATTAATTTGTGTGTGTTTGTGATTCAATTTCCTCATGTTTTTCGTTGGATTTCCAGGAGCTGCGGCCATTAACCTCCAATATGACTGCTTACTCACAGCAGTGTAATGCAAAGGTGAAGAAAAGAGATAAACAAAACGTACACAAAACAAAAAGAAACCGGATCACCAGTGTGAAAATGGACGATAAGGAAGCAAACGATCGCCTCATGGCGGCGGAGGCGATGTCCGCCCTCTCCTCACTCGTTTTAGTCAAGAACGGCAAGGCGTCTAAATCAGATGCGGGCAATTCAAAAGACAGTAAACCTGCACGACAGAAACCAGGCCGGAAAACAACAGGCACGCAAGGCACTAGAAAAGCAAAGACCAAAGCTAAAAATAAGTCGTCAGTAAATAATCATGATTATGCAACTCCAGGCAACATGAATAATGATACAAATTGTGTCAGTAACAATAATAATAATAACAGCGACCATGCAGTGAATTCGAAAAATGTGAATACTAAAAATAAGAAATCTATTAATAAAAAAAGTGAACAAGCAACCCCAAATTCTGGCATCACAACAAGAACTAAATCTGGCAATGCGCAAACAACAACAGTTCCATCGTCATCAGCACCAAAAACTGTTACACAATGCACACAGACAACGCCTAGTGCTGATTTATTTGGGAATCCAGCTATGAATTTGGCCAGTTTGTCGTTACTTTCGGGTAATCTTTTACAAGGTGGTTTTGCGTTGACCAGTTTACCCAGCATTCCTTCTGGTATAGATGCATTAAAACTCACGTCGAACAATATAGATCTTGCTGCGTTACCAGGGTTGAATAGCGTTAATTTAGTACTAAATAAATTAGCGACTCTAAATGAATTAAATAAGGAGACAAGTAGTGAAGGGGAGAGAAGTCTGCCCTTTAAGAAACGAAGATATGCAAATACAACATCAGGTACAAATGCCGATCAAGGTAACGATGTACCGCCACCTAAGCCAAGAACATCAACTAGCGTACCGGTACTGAACCGATCTATATCAACAGGTATATCTATATTTAGAAAAATTTATTTTGAATTATGCAGACGCATCTTTGTTACAACAGACTCGTCTTGAATTGTTCATTTGCTATTAAAACGGTAAGCTGCCTCAACTATCAGAGCGATTACCATCAATTTTTGTGATATGATTTGAAAATTTCAGGTGCTTTGGTGACTGATTGGCTTAACGCATGTGCGCTAGATCATAAAGTCTTTCATTGAATCAAGTGGTGTGGTTTCGATTTATATCCTATACATAGAAATAGGCCAACTGAACAATGTTGTGGTTTGCAAGGGTTTAAAATCCATGACGTTCAGTGACTTTATGGTAATCAACCCTTCGAAAACACATGATCAGTTTACAAAGTTTAAACTACACTCCCACAGTCTCACTTTAGGATGTAAATCGCTACTCGGTGAACCGCTCACTGTTCAGTCACACTGTATAAAAGAAATGAAATAGGGTTTAACGTCCTACTGTTCTGCCCCGAACTGTGCTGGTGAAGATGGCCAAAAGCCATACAGTGTGCCATGAGGGAAATTTTGCCCGGACAGCGGCACTACGGTCTACTCTTATATCGATTTCCAACTGTCAAGGGATCTTTTACGTGCATGCCAGTGTATGGGACCTCTTTTTTTGTCCCATCCCAACGACTAGACAGCTGTCCTTAATGTCAGGCCACCCCAAAGGTCGAACTGCCCTGTCGTGCCTAACTATGGTGCACGAAAAATGTTCCTATAATACAGAATGAAGCTATTCATATCTCTGGTGGTTTGAGGTGGTCCAAGGAAAAGCAATTTTATAGTGTTTCAGTATGTTCAGGGAAATAACCTACCAGTATTTATCACTGTTCTCTAATTTCCTTCACGAAACTGGAGTACGGTACCAGTAGTTAATATTTGTATGTACCAAATGTTCAGTTAAAGGGTTAAATATGGTTATGGTAAAATAATGAATATAAATATTTTGGTAGTGAGCAATATTTTATTTTAAGTTATTTTATGTAGTTCATACATGCACCTAATGAATGAGAGATATGACATTATGAAATAAACTACTCCATCGGCTATTGGGTAAAAAGCAGGTCACCTGTTATAAGCCTTAAATACAGTATGATCATTGAATAAGATAAACCCCACAATATGGTTATGGTAAAATAATGAATATAAATATTTTGGTAGTGAGCAATATTTTATTTTAAGTTATTTTATGTAGTTCATACATGCACCTAATGAATGAGAGATATGGCATTATGAAATAAACTACACCATCGGCTATTGGGTAAAAAGCAGGTCACCTGTTATAAGCCTTAAATACAGTATGATCATTGAATAAGATAAAACCCACAGTATAACTATACACTCTCGTCAACAACATAACAGCCAATCCCTAATAACCAACAGGGTTATTGCAACACAATGTCTATTGTATGGGCCTATTTTTAGCCTTGAATTCATGAACAGGTTTACAAGTTCATATCAGACCATGTACTGTGTATTTAGACCCATTGAAGCTAAAGTTTTCCATTGAGATTTTTACCCAATATTTTGTAGGTTAAGTTTTATAACCACAAGGATGTAAATATTATACAGGAAGCAAAATATTTTACATACATGTGCCAAAACATTCACGGTTCTATTACTAAAAAATGATTTTTATTACTACTATATATAAATAAGTCCATTTATTGTAAGTTCAGTGAAAATGCTTTTATATAGGCCTGTATATATACATGTACATGTAACAGGGAATAAATTCAGCAATTTAGTGGTCCAATTTGTTAATCAAATGCTTGCTGTACAAAAATCATTACAGATGATCACTAACTCAAACAAATGGGTTGAAATACATATAAAAGGCCTACATGGACTTTGAAAATGGTACAGTACACGTATAGAGCAAAAAAACTGTGATGCAAACAAAAGAATTAAATTCGATTTTATAAAAGAGACAGTGGATCATCCTTGAAAGTGAAATCTATTTGCATGCTGCTAATACACTTAAGCTGTTTTATTTTTATCCGAAAATAGTTAATTGAAACATGCTCTGTCTTTCATTCTCGGTTTTGTTTCCGAAACATACATGTATATCATAAACCAGGATATATATCTTTATGAAACTTTGTACACACATAAAACTATTATTGTGTTTGTACGTGTTGCCATGTACAGTAATTATGAAGTTCTCGGATTTAATTATTATTATACGCCCGCATTCAATTTCAAATAATAAAAAGAATACATTATAAAAAAAAAAACATCATTTTATCCAAAGTTTCATCAGTAAAAATACTAACTTCTTTAGTGATGAAGAATTAAATAAAAAAAATAATGTGGTTGTATATTTTTGTCACTCCTGTCGGTCCGTCGTTCACAATTACTTTTTCTTTCTGTTGATTTAACAATATTTATTCATAAGATATCAAATATACATGTAACATAACAATTTTAAGGATATAATATAAAAAAAAAACCAAGCTAAACGCTTATATATTTGTTAATTATTTGATATGCTCCAGAAAGTATTTAAATTTTTAAATTCGACCTTGCTGCTTTTTTTATGCGTCCACATGTTAATGTCCTACAGGGGGATCACGGTGGCTAAGTGGGTAAGGCGCTGGCTCGCTAGCCTGGAGGTCGGGTGTATTGGCCGAGAAAGTTCATCCCGATTTTTCGGCGTGGTTCCCCCTTGTCAGTGATGCAGGAAGGAGGGCCCGACAAGGACAGCTGTCTAGTCATTCGGATGAGACGAAAAACCAAGGTACCGTGTACACATTGGCGTGCACGTAAAAGATACCTTGACAGTTGGAATTCGATATAAGAGTAGTGCCGCTGTCCGGGCAAAATTTCCCTCATAGCACACTGTATGGCGTATGCCCGTCTTCATTAGCCCAGTTCGGAGCAAAACAGTAGGACGTTAAACCCCATTTCATTTCGTTTCATTTAATGTCCTACAATATATTCATCCCTCTGTCTGATGTGAAACAATCTGATTAAAACACAGACCCTTTTGTTCGTTTTGTTTTTATAGTTCAAAATTTCATTGTTGTTATATAACCTGCGTTCTGATTGATGTGAGGGATTAGCAAATGAAACAGTTTGTTACGGCAAGTTCTTGGTGTGTGGTGCACAGAACTGTGGGTATCCCAGTAGAAACATCAATGCTGATTGGTTAATCAAGTGTCTGACATTATAGGGTCAAAGGCCCTGATGCGACCTTCCACTACAACTGGTCAGATCTTCATGTAGTGCAGGCCATCGAAAGTATAAAAAAAAACCGAACCGAAATATAGATGTGTATTTTAATGAGATTGGTTGTGAAATAAACCTGATCAGAATTCACTCACATATTAATTATCTGCAGACCAATTGTCCATTACTAGTCTTTCAAAGTCATGCATCTGTTACATGTATTTACAGACTTTTTGCTCTATTCATCTAGAACTTTGCTCTATACATGAACTTGTAGGTCAGTATTTCGAAGGGTTTTCTTCCAAAACTTTTGACTAGCATTATGGACATGTCTGAAGGCTTAACTGCATTTGTGTCTGATTTGTTGCCTGTCATAAGATGGAACTACAACCTGGATTGCCTATATTAAAATTTGGTTAGAGAGAAATTGAATTTAACGTCCATTCAACACAAACTAGATCGTTTTGGGACCTTTAGCTGTGGGAGGAAAGCAATGAAAACCCACAAGGTTTGATAGGCGACCCTACTTCTTGTCACATGCATTTTGGGGTCAGCCCTAATCTTAAATACTTGTTCATTCAGCTTCCAGCAATCCATCTAGTTGTGGTATACTTACAATGTATTATTGTATATTATTTACAGGTTCTAATGCAGAAAAGCCAGCTATTAGATTATTTGAGCCAGTATTTGAAACAAGGTTAATGTCAGAAATTTCTGTAGCTTTACAACCAGATGATGATGGTGACCTGTAAGTAAAATATCTATTCAATGTACAATAAATTCAACATCTCATACAATACACATGTACATGTACCACACACATAAATATTTTGAATATATATATAGTTATTGGATTTAAAACCTACATGTATGACCAGGGGACCATCAACCCAAATTTTCATGGTTACCATTTTCTGCTGAATCAAGGTATTTGGATCAAGTCAATAGCCAATCGAATGCTTTGTCTTATCCATCGATCATCTGCAGACAGTCAGACAGTGTGTGCACAGAATTGTGGGAAATTCTGTTTATTGATTGAAAATAAAATGAAAGTAGAAACCACTAAACCCTGTTACTATTGATTTCAGTTGTGATGGTGCATGAATTCTCCATATTATTAAAATTTTAAGTCATCAAAATTATATAAATACCAAGATACATTATGGGAGACTAGATAAAGAGCTGGCAGTTCTCCCTTTACTAGTGAAAAACTAGATAATGCAAATAGAAGATGTTGAAAATTTCCGTCAAATTGATCCACCCTGAACCAAGATTTTAGTGATTGGATTTTAGGCCTAGTCTCGATCATCATTACTAAAGTCTGTACAATCAAAAACATAGTCTCGATTATCCATTTTTTTTTATTTAATCATCAATGAGCATTGAGCAGCAGATCGGATTCCAATTCAGTAAATATTGCAGACTAGCGATAACATTGAGAGTTGGTTATGCCTGGATAAGTTAAACACACATTATGCAAGAGCTAAATCTGTCTATTGCAGGGCTTTCTTTAGGCCTGAAATGTTATCTAAATTATTAATTAGACATTAATTAACCTATCCAGACCATAATCAACTCTAGATGGCATCGCTAGCCTGAGATCTTTAGTGGATTATGAGCTGATTTACTGCATAACTTTCCTTCACGATTTAACGATTAAATGAATAACCGAGACTATGCTGTTTATCGTACTGACTTTAGTAATGATGATCAAGGCTAGCTGGAAATTTCAACCGCTTAGTTCTTGGTTCATAGTGGATCAATTTGAGTGAAATTTTTAGCAAATTGCCTTTACATTATCTAGTTTTTACTATTATAGTGAGAACTGCCAACTCGTTATCGAATCTCCCATAATGTATCTTTAACTAATGTCTAATTAATAATTTACATGTAGATAACATTTCAGGCCTAAAGAACGACCTGCAATAGGCAGATTTAGCTCTTACATAATGTATGTTTAAGTTTTAATCAGTATTATTTTAATCATACTGTGTTAGTATTTTGATTTCTCTGAAGTGGGCCATTCAAAGGAAATATTTGGTTAACTTTTTAATTGTATTTTCAGACCTTTACATATAGCTGTAGTACATGAGAATATTCGTATGATCAAGAAATTTATTCAGTTGATGAAATTAGCCAGGAAAAGTGTTGATAAATTTAATAAACAAAAACAGGTAATGTACAATATATAAAAACAGAAAATGGGGAACTAAACAAATTGATATGTACACTTTTTTTTAGAATTTCACATACATGTAAGTAGAGTTCATTTGGAGCTACATGTAGTGTTACTAGAATAAGGTTGTTTCCTTAGCTGACTTAGTGTGTACTTGGGAGAGGAAGATACATGTCTACTTGTACATGACAAGGAGTAGGGTCGCCTGTCCAACCTCATGGGTTTTCTCCAGGTTATCCGGTTTCCTCCCACTCAAGCAAATTATTCAAATAGTTTGAATCATATGTTAGTCCCAAAATGACGTAGTTTGTGTGAGTGGCCGTTAAACGCCATCTCTCTCTCTCTCTCTCTCTCTCTCTCTCTCTCTCTTAGCCAGCTGTAGGCCTAAGCTCCTAGAAGTTATATTTTGTGCTGCCCCTTATTATCTTGTGTAGGGTATTATGATGAGAGATATGGGTTTCATCCGCCTGACTTTGTGTTCTTCCATTTCGGTTTTGCTTCCTGAATATATCTCAGAAATCGTTCAAGATATATTTCTGAAACTTTGTACACAAATATTATAGTAGTTGTGCCATTTTGCTGATTAGAAATTCTCTGTTGAAAAATTTTGGGGTTTCCATGGGGAAAGGAATTTGACTTGTGTAAAATGTCTGAAATGTACTGTAATCAAAGCCAAGATACAGAACACTGTCGTATCCTTTATTTACATGGATTTTGCTCAAATAAGGTTGCACTTAATTTCTAATTAATTTAAATTTTAAATAAATTAAATCGCTTCACCACTCATTTAGAAAAATACATTTTTATACAAAAATCCTGCTCTATATTGGTAAAATTTTATATGTTTTTTTATTTTCGGGAGTCACAGTGGCTCAGTGAGCAAGGCGCTGGATCACTAACCTGGAAGTCCCTTGTTCAATCCTGGTCTTGACTGAGAAAGTACTGCAGGATTTTCAGCCTATTACACCCTTGTCATTGGTGCAGATGAGGGGAGGGGGCTTAACAAATAAAAGTTTTTGTGCACGTAAAAGAACCCTTGAATCATGGAATTAAAAAAAAGAGTAGGCTGTAGGGCTGCTGTCTGAGCAAACTTTCCCTCATAGCCCACTGCATGGCCTATCCTCATCTTTATTAACATGGTTGGTTGATGCAGAATTAAAACTGTTAAACCGGAATTTATCTTTTCAGACACCACTACATCTGGCTATAAAGTTAGATTTAAGGGAAGCTATCAAGTTGTTGTTAGATGCCCAGGCAGACGTAAACTATGTCGATCATACTGGTTGTACTTCTCTACATCTAACCGTTAAACATCAGTTACCACATATAGCAAACCTTTTATTTGAACATTCTAGAGTTGAAATTGAGGTGAACACCAGAAACTTTGCTGGTAAGGTTAAAGAATATTCTTGCTCTCAGGCCAAGTAAGAAAATACCTGTGTTTACATTTAGTTACCAAACAAGATATAGGGTCGGCCGGAAATTTTTTTTCTTTAATTCTTTGAAGATGTTTGTGGGGTAAGATTGGATAAAATTAAGTAAAGTAATAATTTAATCTTTTGATAAACTACGATACATCCATGCTTGCATTCTAAAACCTTTGTGGTGCCATTTCAAATATTGTTAAGTGTTTATTATTTATGTCCAAGAATTTCTAGCTTAGTTAATGAGTAAGGTTCTGTAAAATCATGCCGATTCGGACTATACCGAAATTTCAATGCCTTCAGAAAGACCGATTTAAAGGACCTTGGAAATGAGAAAAAAAATATTTAGGGATGGCGATTTTGGCTAAAAACAAATTAGGATCTGTCGAGCAAGGGTAAACACAGGTAATGTTTTATTTGACCGTATGTTTATAAAATAACATCAAGTTCAATAGGTAGTATATTAATTATAATGTATATTATATTTATAATATGCTTTATCCACAAGGGTAGTGCTCAATGTTTTACTTGGATTCAGGTAAAGTCTTATTACCTCCCTTTCCCATCTTAAGGCTTTTATAAAGAGCGCAACCCATTTACTGCTTGACAGACAGGAATTCTTATATAAGAATATATAGTAAGCGTAATTTAGGTCTTGTACCTGCAACCGTTTAGTCACATCTTCCCCTGAAACTGTTGTTTGAGATCTATCCCGAAATGAATTACTATGAATTATTGATTTTATTTGATGTATATGAAGACCTATGATTGTTACATTTAATATTTCAAAATTCAGTGATAGTGTCTTGTTTTTGTGGTAGTGTCATGGCAACAATTATACCTTATGAGGGGTGGCAATAACTATGCATAAAAATTTATTTGTCGAGTTATTGCTCTGGTACTCTCTCGACCATGATATATGTTTACTGTGACTTTTATTTTGAACTAGAGATTAGAATTAGAGATTGTTTGAATGATCAGGAGTTAAAACCATTTTGAAATTCAGTATGCTATTACAATATTAATACAAATACATACAGAGATAACCTTTATTGATTAATTGAATAATTGAATGACTTAGCGGCTGTTGATAGGAATAATGTTTTGTTGTTGCCTGGCAACATGTGTTTATCATGGAGGCTGGATGGGTGATGAATGAATATGGTTTAAATCTTTATAGACAGCAGGGGGGTTGGATGGCCGAATGGTTAACTGTATCACAAGGCCTGTGTGCTGTATCACAAGGTCTGTCATTGAGTCAACTGGCGTGGTTTCGAATCCCCGGGTGTACGTGACAAGGAGTAGGGTCGCCTGTCCAACCTCGTGGGTTTTCTCCGGGTCCTTCAGTTTCCTCCCACTGCTAAGCCAATTATTGAAATTAAATTAAACCATATGTTAGTCCCGAAATGACCTACTTTGTGTCGAGTGGACGTTAAACCACATTTCTCTCTCTCTTATAGACAGCAATATGTAATGCAGTTAGCTCCCCTTGTTCATTATTAGTCATTGTCATGTTTAGTTTAGTTGCCTGCACTTCAATTGATAGAAATTATATTCTAATGAATAGCAATGAACATTGGCCAAATAATTTATATTTTATAGTGTCACACCCCTGTCTATTTCTTGTTGTCGTTCTCTAGAATTATCATCCAGTTGACTCACAAGAACATCACTGACTGATTATTACTGTCAAGAGTTTTGACCATTAAAGATACATTATGCAGAGCTAAATCTGCCTATTACAGTACATGTCTTTGTTTTGTCCTCAAATGTTATATAAACTATTATTTAGACGTTTATTCACATGACAAGAACATAATCAACTTGCTAGACCATGCAATGAATGTGATTTACATGGATAAGAACGGACGCAAGATTTAAAAATTTAACAATAAAATAGATTGTCAAGTATCGTTGCTACAATTTGATAAACAATCTACGTTACTTCAAACAGCCATAACTTCACTCAGAATAAAGTGATTTAAATGAAATTTTTAATATATTCATTTTCCATTATCTATTTTTGAACTATGATAGCAAGAATGGCCAGCTCTTTATCTAAATCTTACATAATGTAGCTTTAATCATTTAGAAAAATATCTTGTGAACGCATTTCATATGCCATAATTTACAATGTTTTTATTTAATGTTATATTTTAAGGTTTAACACCATTACATACAGCTGTGGAAAAAAATGATGAAAGAATGATTAATTTACTTCTTGATAAGCGTGTGGATGTTGATGCATTGGTAAGTTTAAAACAACTGTTAAACATATATTATTCATTTTTATGTAGTCAGGTATTGTCGTCGCCCCTGTCTGTCATTCAGGCAGTTGGTCCATTATAGGCTCAAGTTATTATTCGATTGACCTTGAATTTATACACACTGTCCATGGTCATGGGGCAAAGATGTCTATTGATTTTCAGTGATTTCTGATAAATAGAATTGCTAAATTCATGATATTACATGTTTGGTCATTCTCGGTTTCATCCATGGGGTATTCACGTATTCAAATTGTCTGCCCTTGATCGTAGCTTGAGTCTGCGAAGCAATCAAAAAACATTTTACTAACCAGGGGCGGGTCCAGGAATTTTCGCAGTAGTGTGTTTGCCAGATTCCTAAACTAAGACAATGTATCCTTTGGCGCTTAGAGGGTGCGGGGAGTGTTTTTCTGCCGTCTTTAAAACTTTCTGAAAAATACATGGTCTCTATTGTCATTCTGGCGTATATCTGTGGTAACCAGACGTCTCTTTGACAAAAAACAGAAACTAGGATTTTACATAAAAACATACTAAATACATGTACCTACAAATGCTATGTTTTAGTTTTAGCAAAAAATTCAGTTCTGGACTGTTTGGACAGGTAGTTTTAAGAAAGCAAAATAGAAAAAAAAAAAAGTGACAGAGACTGTCAAACACCAAAGTATCAAGAAAATTCATCACATAAACTATTGGTTTATTTTTTTTACAATATGCTTGGGCACGGAGAACTTGACAAGAGTCTAAAATAGGGTTTTCCGCAATTATGACTCCAAATATAATGGGTAGAATAAGGGGCGTGGCTGTTTCTTGATAAACCGTTCTATAATGTCATCGATATCTAGCTCGAAAGTATAGTTACCTTTCATTAGGATTAAGCTTGTCAGATTATCCGTCATAGTAGAACCATTTGATGATAAAGGGCACACGATCGTGACACTTTTCTCATAAAATGTGTTGCTTTACAATTTTTTTAATGTAGCTGTGCAGGGAAATGGGTCGCTGTCCACATTAACTTAATTACTAAAAATAGACTATACTCTAAATTTATGTTAAAGGACAATATTGGTGCCAGTCATTATCACATATGTAATAGAACTGGTTAAACACGTTCCAAATATTATTTTATCACAGAGATCATTGCTACGATAGATAAATAATCAATGTTTCAACAATAGGAAGTGACGAACGCAAAAGGAAAACACGAGTTATCCCTCTAATATAACTGGCTGAAGTGACGGGTGATAACAGATACATGGGCGAATTTCTGCTCACTAAAAATTCATTCGTAGACCAAAAGTTGTTATATGAGACTGTAAGAGTATATCTGACAATTCAAAAAAGTAATTGAATGTCATTAGATAAGAGAACACGAGAAAAATAGAAACAGTTCATACATTCACAAGTGTTTATTCATTCTATACTTATAAAAACATGGTAATGCACAGACTTTTTCTATTTTTCTTTCATGTTCTCTTATCTAGTGACAGTCAATTTTGTTTATGAATTGTCAGATATCCTTTCACAGTCCCATACAACAACTTTTGGTCTTCGAATGAATTGCAGAGTTTTGTGGTGGAACATGGTGAATCGTTTGCGTGCCGATATCATCCTGATTCTAGCATGTTGAAGAAAAATGTACTTTATTTAAGTTGAATACATATATGTTGATCTTGAGCGAGGAAGCGAGGGTTAAACTAATATTGTCTACAATAAATTTTAATGCTGCCGTGTAAACGTGTACATGTACATTGTATAATGTACGGGGCAGTTTGAATAATAACCCAACGTTCACCGGCAATCTATATCGGTTAAATGAATTTTTGAACGTACATGTACATGTATTACCTGGGGTTATACATGTATGCGAAGAGTTGACAACTTACAATTTCTTAAACGTATCATTTGGTCTTCATCTATAACTTCTTCGTCTATAACTTCCACACCGTTGGAAGTAGATGTAATCTATTAATCATTGGCTGCTATCAAATCCAAATTTTAAATTTCTCGCAGCTTCAGTTAATCTAAATCAACCATCCATTAAACACAGTGCCATACATGTACATCATAAATCACTCCGCAATGTGCATAACGATAAGTTGGTAGTCAGAAACGCGCCAAAACATTGAGTTGTTGGGTCCAACATAGGAACTATATTCATATGCTGTATAGTTCGCAAAAAGTATTTAACTAATCTTGACTGTTACTGGTACCGGTAATGTATTATGACGTATGACGCATTAAAACAATATGGGTGGATGTGTGTGTGTAAAGGTCACAAAAATGTCAGCGCCATGTAATTGTTATTTTACAAATTATGTATACATAGATGTATACATACATGTAAGGGATATACTTGTACGCTGTGACAATATACAGACAAAGGCTTTTGAGAAATCTATAGGAACCCATTTTCCTCTAACTAATCAAGGTTATGAATCTATCGTATACAATATAAATGTTATAAGAAAGCTAATTCTCTATAAAAAAATAATCTCCCCCTTTAAGAAAACATATATATTTTTTTTTTTTTCATATTAATCAAGAGTAAATAGAGTTAAAACCAAACTTTATTATTACTAATTTAGTAAGAATAATATGTCTGGGTCACTTTGCATGAATACATCACAAAATGAAATGAAATGAAATGGGGTTTAACGTCCTACTGTTCTGCTCCTAACCTTGGCTAATGAAGACGGGCATACGCCATACAGTGTGCTATGAGGGGAATTTTGCCCGGGCAGCGGCGCTACGGTCTACTCTTATATCGAATTCCAACTGCCAAGGGATCTTTTACGTGCACGCCAATGTGTACACGGGACCTCGGTTTTTCGTCCCATCCGAACGACTAGACAGCTGTCCTTGTCAGGCCCTCCGTCCTGTATCACTGACAAGGGGAAATCACGCCGGAAAATCTGGATGAACTTTCTCAGCCAATGCAGGGATCGAACACCCGACCTCCAGGCTAGCGAGCCAGCGTCTTACCCACTTAGCCACGTGTTCCCCGAATACATCACAATGCTTTAAATTAAAATAAATGCGATGGACTTGAACATAATATTACATTACTCTTGATTGAAAGAAACAATTCGCGTCAAACATTTCCATGTATCATAAATCAAGGGGGACAAGAGTAAAGAGTAAATATAAATAAACATAAACATTTATAATTTCATAAATTTTTTTCAAATATTAGGACTTGGTCACCTTGCACGAATACATCACAATGTTTTATTATTAATATGAATAAATTAAATACGATGGGCTTTAACATGACACTAAATTACAGTTGTCATTCAAACATTCCATGCCTAATAAATCATGTCATGTGTCATATTACCCGCCAAATCTAGCCAATGAATCAACTCTGTGATTACATGTATATTCTTACGCTATTGTTCTTTGCAAATATATTTTTGATGATATAACCATTACATTGTATTTGAGTTAGTCTCTAAAATAAAATAACTCCCTTGAAGGCAATGGAAATTTTCAAGGTCACCGAGGCATGCAGATTTACTGTGTTGTGTGTGATATATATTCTACAAATTTGGCAATTTATTTGATATGTATTCATTCACCAAGTGAACAAGTTTTATACATTCTACAAGTAGAATTTTACAATCACACAATGTGGTGCATTACTTCTTGGATATTAACGGATATAGACTTAATAAATTTCAGCAAAACAGGGACATTTGTGTGTTCATGTAGATCTATTGCTTTTTGTAAAATATTTAAACAGTCCTTCAGTGGAAATGTTTTAGGTTGCTCTTTTACGTAAGAAAGTAGAATTTACAAATGCTGTAAATGACCCAATCGGAACATACAAATAAGTGAAATGCTTCGAGAAACAAATACATGTACACCACAGAAAAATTCCACGCAATGTCAGCTATTCCTGAGCGTGAATAACTTCCAGCACGAAAAATTTTGGCCAATCGATAAATGAAACATTCTGTAATACTTTGAGAAATAACAACACTACTGTTACCGTATAAAAGCCCGCGGGAAAAGCCGATGAAAGGCTCGCAAATTCCTTTCGGGGAGCATGGCAAAACACAGTGGATTCCAAGCGAATCGTAGCGAAAAATTGCTGAGGAATCAAGCAAAAATTCTCCGCGGAATAAAGAGAAAATTCCTCATGAAACCATAGCGATTTCTGAGCCATTTTTTTCGGTGCGAAGGCACGATTTCAGTTAAAAAAATTTGGGACGAACGGTATATGCTTAATAGTTTCAGTGGCGGTGCTAACCGCCGGTGGGGGAGGGACAAACCTTGGGTGTAGCCCTAGCTTGAGGGGGCTTCATCGATCAATGAAGGTGCTTACTCCATACCCAGAAAATTTTACAAAATAGACTGCTGAAGAGGCAGCTTGGCAGTATTTCAGGCACTGATCGGCGAGATAAAGAAAGCTGAAAATTATTTTTAAAAAAAACCCACTGAAGGGCAAAAATGCAATAATTCAATAATAAATTGGTCCCTCATGAGCGCCAAAGGCATGAGCTCAGGGCCTTCCATAGAAAAGTTTGAAAAAAGACTGGCGGAGTTGGGCAGTATTTCATACTCCCATACATACACACTTCACTTTATATTATTGTTTATATATAGCTCAGGTTAATTGGTTTCCCATTAATAGTGTTAATACATTGAATAAATAATAGGATTCCCCTCCTTTTAATCCCTGTAAGAGTTTCCGTTGCGTAGGTTTTGTTGTAAATGGCCCCCTAATCAAAGGTAAAGATTTAATTGTATTTGATTCTTATCTTTGTTGCATATTCTGTATATACTTGCCTACTATTCACATATTTGTATAATTTGCTTGATAAAGACGAGAGTATCCTCGTCGAAACGTCGCTTAGTATTAAACTTAGTAATTGTGTATCTATAAAATTGTACCTTGTGTTAATAAATAGAGCTTTTTTTTACTCAGAGACATGAAAATTATAAAAAACCACTACTGGCAGAAATGCAATAATTTAATAATGA